GCACTGTAAGGGAAAATAAACCCTGCAAGCACCCCCTCCCCTGTACACACACATAGCGGCACGGTGAAATCAGAAGGCCAGTGCCCGTGCATCGCCCCCCAGCCCGACTGTCGATGCTCAGGGCGCTCAGGACAGCCGAAAGCACACACCGAAACGCCCAGAAATTCAAGCCCCGGCGGCGTGTGGTTCTCCAGGCTACCAGTCTGCTGTCTTCTGCACACAGCAGGTGCTTCACATTGTTAGCTGCCGGTCATTGGCTACTGGCACGTCCGTCACTCGGCGGCAGAGGCGTCGGCAGCGCTGATGAATAACCTGCCCGGCTCGCCATTGGCCGCCGTCGGGCTGTCCGCTGAGAGGAAGCAGCTCTGGAGTTCTCGGGGGGCGGGTTCGTTAGTTAAGAGCTCTCGGATTTATTTAAAATAAATAAAATACGGGGAAAGTAAGAAAAAAGTTGTCGGCTGCTAAGCACCGCCTGCGTGTCACCGGGGCAGAGAGGAGGAGGGGCGGCGGGGCCGGGCCGGGCCGGGCCGGCTGAGTCACCGGGGCAGAGAGGAGGGGCGGCGGGGCCGGGCTCACTCCACGCCAGGAAGCGGATCCGAGGACACGCAGCCGGCCGGTCCCTGCCGAGAGGGTTTCTCCCGAAAAACACATCAAACAGAGCTCGTTTCTGCGAGGCAGTTTCTCTAGCAGGGATGGGCTGGACACAGAGGGGAAACCGAGTGGCCTGGGTGCCTCTCTGCATCATTTTCATAGGGGCATTCTCCCACTGGGTAAGTCCGTCTCGTTGTTTACTCCCCAGTCCGGTCATCGCACAGAGGAAATCATTAATTCGGGTTTGGGGTTTGGGGTTTGGGGTTTGGGGGTTGGGGTTGGGGATTCCGCTGTGCATTGCTTTCCGACGATATGCGCTGGATTTTTACCTTCGAAGAAAGGAAACAACTCCCGTCCTGTCTTGTGCGAGGGTCCAAGTCACCGTGTTGACAGTCATCTGCTTGTTGCAAAATGGGAAAAGGGAATAGCTTGCTTGCTCTGTCACATCATGTGAGCGAGTGACTAAACTGGCAACAGCGGAGATGATACTCGCTCAAACTGTCAGAGCCACCTCACGCACACGGTGCCGCTTTCCAGGCGCCGGGAGACGTGTACTGGCGAGCGCCCACACGTCTCAGTGTGGGTCTGAGGTACCGTGTGGCTCACACAACACGACCAGGCTTGAGATCCGATTAGTCCTTGGCTAGGCCACCCTGCTATTACGTATTCATTAATGCTATTTAGTACTAACTCGTATTGTAAGAATAATGAGCCCTAGCCGATTGTTGATCAATTTAAACAGCTCATATGTTCAATTAATGAAAGGGAGTTCTGGTGCTTGTGGGATTCAGTTTTTTTTATTACGTAAATACATTTTATATATTTATTTAATATGGATATATTTTATTGTGTTCCAAGAACGTTGTTTAATGAATTAAACAGCTGCACTGGATGAGGCGAGGGCTAGCTCATGACACATGCCGGATAGAGGCTCTGTTAAAAATGTTGAGTTAACTTGTAGCGGCTCTGGAAACTTGTTGTTAAGGCGGAAACCCATCGCGCTGTGAAATGTGTGCATGTGTGTCGTCGTAAAAGCAGCTGTGGGTATCCTCTACCTCCAAGGCCTTCTGAAAATCCCCCGAAAACTGGGGGGGAAAAAGACATAATTGCTCCTGTCTTGAATTGTTCCGATATCCATTCGTCGTTGTTTGGTAGACTGAATCAGCACGTTGCGTGGTAACCTCCGTGGTAAAGAGGCGTCAAAAATAGTCGAGGCCGTATTTAACACAGTACATTTCAAGAGTAACGGTAATGAAGCTGAGAGATTCAAGACTTTCGCCTGCTTCTTTACAGATAAAATGTACCTCCCTTCGTAACCAATAAGTTCCACAGATAATGTTCTTTAAGATATACTGGTTTTGAATTTAAAATCGAGCCGCCCTCTTCAACGACTCCGTATAAAAAGCACATCTTCCTAACCAAAGTGTGTAGAAGCATACGTTTGTGTTGTTGGTGTGATCTGGAAATGCGATATTGGCCTGTGTAATAGTCCTCCTACATCAAACAAGAGTAATGAGTTTTAGAGAGAAATGCTGAAATAATGGTTTTGGCATTTTGAGGACAAAGCTGCTATTACAATAGAAAATACAATGTGGATTGGTTATATACAATGGCCCCTTATTTTTGGAGCGGGGGTACTGGCATAAAAATAATGTTTGTTTTTCTTGCAGGGCCTCAAAGTAGAATGGAGGCTTTGTCTAAAAACATGAAACAGAATAACTGCTGCCTTTGTGTTCTCTTTCTCTAATTATCATTCTAGAGAAGCAAGACTTTTATTATGGAAACAATGCAAAGATGTTCACTGAAGAGAGGAGAGGAAGGGGACTACATTAAAAAAAAAATCCTTCCTTCTCACTGTACCCTTACCCTTGCGTGACAGTCACATTTCTAGTCAACAGAAGTATAGACGTGGGCTTTACCGCTGCTCATTTAAAACCAAGGTGAACCTGAAATGCTCTTTTCTCTTCTGAACACCAATATTTGCAGGAAAAGGCACACATGAATCTTATAAGACTGGAAAAAAACAACAACTGGTTGGTTTGCTTATTGCTTGAACGACAGCAAGGCTGTTATACACAACTGCAGTGTCATGGAAAATACCCGAAAAATACCTGGACAGAGATGCTAGCTAAACCAGCTAATTTGGGGGATTAATTTGAAGAAATGCGAGTGATTTTCAGCATTACTGAAGTCTGTCATAGGTTTTTCCTGTCAGTGAACGGAAACCGTGTAACCCTACGTCCCTGAATGCTGCTTAAATAGCAACTACAACAAGACTTCTCCGGAGCCTAGTGGTGTCTAAACATCTGATTTCTTCTGGAGCACTGTGTCTTTTCAGATATTATTAGGATAAGGTTCAGGGTTGTTTATACTGAGGTTCAGAAGAAACATCTCATTTTTGCGTTTATATTTTTAGAAAAAGAGAAAGTATGCTTTAGACTTTGAGAGTTGCACCAGGACTAAGTCGCTTCATTAATGAGCGAGTTGATCGGGCACCAGTGATGATTTAACCTGTGGAATATTACAGACGCGTTCCTCATAAACTGTTAGATTGGGATTTACACAAGTCTGAAACTTGTACTGTCCTAGAGAAGTATATTGCAAAAAATTTCAGGGTGCCTTCAGGTCACTGCTTTTCACAGTAAACCTCATGTTGATGTCAAGTGCTTATCAACATAATGAATTTGCTTAGGCCTGTGTCTAGTGTATCTGCTACCTCAACAGCTTGAGGTAGCTCATGGCGGAGATGGACAAATCTGTTGGAAAAATAAGCAATTTTGGCATTTTGAAGGAGAAGGTGCCTACTATATATGTATTTTGAATGACCTACAGGTAGTGATAGAAACACCTGGGTATTGAGGGACAACGAGAGGCACCAAGTGCTGTGTATCTGTGCCAAAGATGTTTTAAGCTCTGTGAATTGAGAGACTTGAGTTTTCAGGTGTGGCAGTAAAGTGGTCTTTTTTGCATATCTTGCAGATTCCAATCCACTGTGTGTGTGTAATACAGAATTTTCTGTCAAAAGATCAGACGCGTGTCAAGGAAGAGGCAGCAGAGTTCCGTTAAAAAACAGTGCATCTTCAAATGTGAATGATTTCGATTGACCTGTTATTATTCCCAGTGTTACTAATGACTTTTTTGTTGTGGCTTGTGGCATTCAGAGGATAACTTCTCCATTTTATATGTTAACTTTAATCCTTAGTGAGAGTTCATGTGAAGGAATTCAGTTCCTCTTCCATGTTCATTAAATAATTCAACAGTTTGATGTATTGAAAGTAACTACAGCACACGTGGTAAACCCCCGTCTACTGTATACAGTACATCTTTCAGTATTAGCTAAAATTCTTCACATATATTGTAGTTTTACACCCTACACTTAATTGGCCCTTTAATTGGCGGAGTGGTGGCTCTGTGGCTGGAAGGTTGCCAGTTCAAATCCCACAGCTGGCAGAGGAATCCTACTCCATTGGGCCCCTGAGCAAGGCCCTTCACCCCAACTGCACCAGGGGTGCTGTATAAATCCAGGGGATTTATCCAAGCGCTTCGAGTGGAGTGTCCAGAAAAGCACTATACAAGTGTAAGCAATGAGTATCAGTGGAGTTAACTCCGCTGCACTTCTGTACGGTGTCATGGGATCTCTGTTGACTGAGTTTTGTGACACATCATCACCAGTCAGTAGTTAATTTGGGCTAAGAGATCAATCCACATCCTGAAGCAACAGGACAGGAGCACTGTCTCCCAGGATGCAGAGCCTTGTTTTGGGAACTGAAAGAAATCCAAAGTCCACAGTGCAGACAATGTGGGGGTCTACGGGATGATAATAGTTTGCTGATGTAGGCGTTACCCAAGCCATTCCAGTCCTTGCAGATGAGCAGCAGTGCTTTACATTTATCTTGAAATCCATTGGAATCCAGCGCGAGAAAGCTAAAACGGAGTGATGTGAGTATTCAGACCCATGCAGCTGAACTCCTAAAGTATTGTAACTTGCCTAGAGCATGTGTAGAGACGCCAGCAAGCCCGCAGTGCTTTACTGTACAGTCAAGCCTGGGAGAGAGACTGCAGGCAGTAGCTTTTCTCCAGACTGGGAGAGCCATGTGGGGGCACTGGCTGTGCTGTAAATGTGAAGCAGGCCGCCTTCACGACATCATGAGTCCTTGGAATCGAACATGACACAGAGGTTCCTGACCTGAGTGTCTGGACTGATATCAACGTTATTGATCGTCAAACTAAAGTTTAAACGGGTTTTGTAGGTCATGAGTTAGTCAGCGTAACTTCGGTTTAGTCAGAACTCAAAGGTAAAAAAGAAGGTTGCATCCATTTTTTTTTCATTTAGGCAGAACAACAAGGTAGTGCTTTATTAATAACTGGTTTTGTGCAAACATGAAAACTGCCACGATAACTATAAAGCCTCAGATCCAGTGCTAACATATATGCATATACTGTATACCAAGAAGAGAGCCCTGTGGGATTCCAACTGAGACCAGGTTTGCCACAGAAGAGCAGTGCTCTATTTGAGCACATTGTGTTCTATGAATTATATAAGATTTAAACGGTGACAAAGCACTTCCACTCATACCAGCAACCCTTTGTAATCTCTTCAGCAAGGTGTTCGATCAGCAGTATCAAAGGCATCACTGAGGTCCAGCAGGACAGGAATGGAGGAAACACCAGTGTTTGCTGTCCACAGTTATTCATCAGTAACGCCAACTTGTTTCAGCTCTATGTGTTTGGCTTCTGTGCTACATTAGTCAAGAAAAGGCAATTGGCCTTGTCTAGCATTTAGGATTCAACCTTCAGATCATCAAATAGAAATACTTCTATTTCCAAAAAGTCAAATAGAGTTCCAGCAGGGTGATTTCATCCAACATCTCTTTCTTTCCATATGGATACATTATGATTTAGGGCTTTTTTAGGCTTCCCTCTTCTTGACGTATGTCAATGTATTTACCATTTTAGTTTCACGTAATATAAATCCCAAAACAAAACTGTGGTAGTCCTTGAATTCTGACGGTGTAGAATTCAGTTTTAGCATTCAGTCTGCAGGAAGCCAAATAACTATTTTGACATACTTGTGATTTAATGGCATTCAAGAGGCTGAACGTGATCTGTCAGCATAAAGGGCAGAATTCATAGGAAGTGCAAGCTGCAAGTGTCATCTGACTCGTCGCATGCTGCACAGATTTACGGACTTCACTTTTCAACCCCTGGTCACCTTTGTCCAAGAATTAATGAGGTCATCATGACTGCAGAGGGGTGTTCTTTTTATCGGCACGACCCAGGAGAACAATTCCCAGTCTGGAAACTGGAGGTTCACCATTGAGGGGAGGTGCAAGGAAACTGAAAGACCCAGAATGATTGTTTTCAAATGCTGCAATACCTCCACAATGCTGGAAATGGATCTGGGGGTGTCACGGGAAAGAAAACAAAACAAATACCCCAGTTAAACAGGAATGTTAAAATAGTTTTTATTTTAAAACGTTAAAGGTCCTAAGAGGGTATCATAAAAAAGCACTTTTTTTCCCAGGGAACCCTGTTTAGTGGCTGAGATCTCTGGTGACCGACCATACTGTGATTTACAGTTTAAAGAGCTTGATTGTCACATGGTAAAAATCTAAAGCAAAAGCACAAGATCCAGAACAGGAGTCTTCAGGGTGTCTCTGGGGTCACTCTAAAGAAAGCAGGTGAAAGATATTATTAGGCCCCTTCACTTCCAAGACTGTAAAAACACCTTTGGCATTGGAGCAGTACATCGCGGAATACTTCAGGGTGGCTTTAGGTCACTGATGTGGTCCGATATATTGACCGATCCTCCTGACCTTCACATGCTCTGATTTTTTTTTATCAGACCCCATATTTGATAGATCGTAAATTTCATCATAACTGTTAGTGCCTCAGTGCTTTAAAGGTGTGGTGAACTTAACGCTCTCAGCGCCGGCCCTTGTTCCGAACATGGTGGCAGGTTAGATCTGCAGGGTAACGATGTGAGCCTAAGCACTGTGCACGGGGACAAGACTGGGGCTCGGACCCATGCGTTTAGTTAGGTTGGTCAGGGAGGTTAACAGGTTTTTCAGGCTTCACGAGCCTGTTTAAAGTTGCGTGCTGTCAAGTTGGTCTTTTCAAGTTGTGCAAGAGTGCAGCTTGATGAAGGCCATTGTGGGTGCATCTTAAACAATACTGATATACTGGCGTTGTTTTAAATTCCTTTGTGTTTGTAAAGTTCAGATTGCAAGTTCTCCTTTAGCTCCCACACGGGGAACAGTCAACCACAAGAACAGCTCATGTTTGCGCTACATGTTTACTTGTGCTTTTGGCTGATTTTCCTATGAGCTTGAGAAATCATTGCACAACAGTCCCCATTGTTCTCACACACAAACAGGTGTCCTTGAAAATCTCTCCAGTAGGGCTGGGAGATATGACCTCACATCAATATCAAGATAAGTTAATACATTTATCTAAATAATGATAAATTAACTATTTTTTTGAAACCCTTGAAATTATATGATTAAGATCATGTTTTAAATATGCAAAACTATTAAAGCTGCACACACCTCATCTTATCTCCATGTCTTACAAATAATTTAAGGACATAATTCATGGAAACACAAACAGAATAACTTTTAATGAACATTTCTTGAAAATGTTAACATATTGCACAATGAAAATTTATTTGAATATATAGAACTTTGAATATTTATCAAATGCATGCTAAATCTAAGTGTCTCGCATCTTATAAATCGGGTATCTCTTGTCAAGGGTTTAAACGAGTCTTTTGAAACCACTATGTTCCACTGTAGCTGTGGACCATGTCCTTCGCTATGTAATATGTAATGGCGTTAATTATCTCATTCCAGCTGCGTGAATCCTTTGCATATTGAATGGCATTAGTAAATGCTTGTGTTAGAGACAGCTGTTTGGGTGAATCACTTCAGCCACTAGTGCACTTGTCAGTGTCTCTCTTTTTCTGGCCATGCACTCTTCGTATTCCACGACATGGTTGTGTTTCAAGTGATGAAACACATTGCTCGTGCTACATTTGGGTGCAGAAACGGTTTTCCTACAGAGTTTACATCTTACTTCTCTTTGTTCAGTATCCTGTTTGCCGAAGCCAAAATATGACCAAACGATCGATACTGCATCTTTTTTAGATACCAGTTCGTCTTCATTTGTACTCACGTCGTCCCTGCTTGACTGGGGTTCAGCATGAGTGCTCGTGTTGTCTGGCACCCGGCACGCTTCTCTGTGTTTGGAATGAAGAACGAAGGGTGGACGAGGCAGAAGCATCTGACTGGATATGACGACTGGGTGTTGTAGTTTTTTAAGGGGACCGCTCATGAAAGCACACAGTGGGGAAAGCTTACCGAGCATACCGACATAAGCAAAATTAGGTCAGTGAGAGATTCTTAACGACGGTATCGGTGAACATTCGGTATATTGCCCAGCCCTGCTCGCCAATGACACTTTGATAAGAGTTGAGGTTTTTGTTTTCCTTGTGCAGGGAGCATGACACCTTGAAGTTTACTTTACCCCTCTTTTCTAACCAAGGCGCAAGAACGGGTGAAGTCCTTGTTTGAAATCGCAGCCCTAACTCTGCGCCGCTATCTGCCTCCAGGTCCAGGCCCAGCACTGTGTGTGGTATGGAGAGTGCCAGGATGTGCCAGACAGAGAGGGCAAGAGGTATAACTGCAACTACACAGGACCCCCTCAGCCATTGCCCCATGAGGGGTACGACCTGGTGGTGGTAAGTAAGGGCGCTGGAAGAAGCGCAGAGGAGCTCGTACCGTAAAAACATCATTGGTAACAGTTGTGCAAATGGTGGACCACAGAGATGCTGTAAAAGGGAGGTGCTCTCAGTTAACTGTTTGAAGAACAGGTGGAGTGGCTGCAAGGAATGTGTTTTCCACCACCCGGTTTCTGAAGCACAGAGTATCCATGCAAACCAAGTCAAACAAGACTCATGTTGCAGAGGAGCAGTATTGCATCAGAGAGGCTTTTGGAAATGGTTAAGAAGTGAGAAGCCCCAGACTTTAGTAAGGACTGTATGAGTACACCTGCGTGTTTGCTTTACTGTCGAGTACGTCAGGCAGTCATGATTTAGAAACTCCATTATCCCCATTGTGCTATTTGGTTCTTTTTTTACGGTGGCTTCAATGCGTGTGTAAATCTTGAAAAGCATGCTGGTCTCAGTTTGATTTCTCTACAACTGGACTTTTCTGCCAGCACGATATGAATCAGTTTTCTTAAACTTAATTCTGTGGTGTATTGTTGAATCGTGCAGTCATCTTCTGCCTTCACAGCTGCTTCACAGCTTGCTCTGACCCCCTGCCCTCTCTCGCAGGAGCTGTGCCCAGGGTATGACTACGGCAACGTTAGCCTGTGCTGTGATATGCAGCAGCTCCAGACCCTCAAGGGGAACCTGCAGCTCCCTCTCCAGTTCCTGTCCCGGTACGTCCTTTCGGCCTCGCTCTCGTCGGCCGGCCAGCACAGAGCTGAAAGACCTTGCGAAAACGGAAATGTATTATTTTTAGATTGGAAATATTGGATGGATACAGATTTATTCTTTCGGTTTCAGGATGTTACAAAGCCCATTTCTTTTCAACGATGCAGCTCATCCAAATAAATGCATTTTTGGGGAAGCAAAACATTCCTGTTACTGTTTCAAGCTTTGAACAAAGTGTTTGGCTTTTTAGTCTGAGTTTGCTTTTACTATATAGACATAGCGTTTTAAAGTATTAGAAGTATGGTTGTTTTCTTAGATGAATCTCAATGGATGTAAGTTCTGTAAATATTTGAACTTCAGGACTGGAGAGTTTTCATTAAAAGACTTATTTTTAAGGGTTTTGAATTTTGCACATATAATAGGAGTACTGATAATATGAATTCCTCCTTGTGCTAATACATATCTGTCATTTTTAAATTGCTTATTTTGAATGAGCTAGTTCAATTTCTTTGTGACGGAAAAAGCATAGTTATGTAGTTACCTTTAGTGCTTTAAATTTTAAATGTTAATAAAGTTTGTACATTTTTGTAATTCTCAACATTTCACAGGAGGATTCTCCTTGTGTTCACTCTGCCAGCTGTTCCAAACAGTTGATATTGACACTAAGAAGCATTTGCAGGCTGAAGCATTACCATATTGCAAGTAAATACTTGCCAAGAGAAAGGTTCCTTCTTGTCGTGTTCATACTTTTAACATATGAGCCGGAAGGAGAGGGTGTCTTATTAAGATCTGTTCTGACGTTGAAGTGAGGATCGGCGCCTGTTCTCTGCCGTCAGGTGCCCCTCTTGTTTCGTCAACCTGATGAATCTGTTCTGCGAGCTGACCTGCAGTCCCCGGCAGAGCGACTTCCTCAGCGCCACCTCCTTCTCCCCGTACGTGGACCCAGTGACGCAGGAGAACAAGACGAACGTTGTGGAAGTGCAGTACTACATCGGCGAGACCTTTGTAAATGGTGAGGCCGCCTCAGACGTGGGAAGCTCTGGACAAACACTTGTCTGGTTTGAGGTGGAGTGACTGGCAGGGGTGCTTGTGTTGCACTGTCAGGAAATTCAGGTTGTGCGGAAGGTTTAAGGGTTCACTAGGAGCACTTTCAGAGCTGTAGCTTTGACAAGATGTCGGTTAAGTATGAAGGAACAGGAAAGTTTGTTTTTCCTATAAGGAAAAAAATCACTAACAAAAACAGTCTTATATGAATGCCAAGCAAAGTGTAGTCAGTATCCCAGTGAACGCCAGGTGGTAATTATGTTTTAGAACATATTATTATGTGTATGTTATTACTTATGTGCCTCTGTGGTTTACAGTTGAGGAGACTTTGAAGTGAAAACGCAGCGTAACTGCCATTTATAGCATTTTTTTTTAATTCTATGAACTATAGTAAAATGTTAAAATAAATAGGTGCAGTCAGATGGAGACCAGAAGAAGTATTTCAAAGATCTGGTAAAAGCAAATTTGAAGTAGAGCAGCAATATCTGCTCCCAGGAGATGATTATATAGGAGATTGTGGGTTCTTAGTGCACTACTGTTGACATCTAGTGGGCCATTCGAATTAGTAAACAACACTCTACACACTGCTGTTGTTTTTGGCTAAGAAAGAAATTTATTTTATTTATTTTTTCTGTTAGTCAGACATAATGACATGAACACATGTCCTCTTGGCTGAATAGTGTGTATTTGTTGGAGCACTTGGAGGACACAGGGAGAGATTCTGTCTCTGCTTTGCATGAGTTCACAGTCATTTTCCTTTGTTAATGGGAAGAAAGTAGAATACAGTATTTGTACACATGATGGCTAGTTAAACTATCAATTTACCTTACGAAGCAGCTTCAGCTGCAGAAATTAGAAGTTTTTGAATTATAGTGGAAGAACACTATTTGTTGAAATCCATTTGATAAGAGGCTAATTGTCAATATCCTGTTAAGAATCCTGAAATCCATGTTAAAGGATATATTTGAGTGATAAAATAACATTTAACATGAATAAGTTTAATATTAACCTTGAATATAAATTGGTCTTTACATGTATGCTTGTATGAGTCCCTTTAACTTTTAAAATAAAAAAGTTAATTAACTTAATACAAGTACACAGGACACAGTACTATAAAGTTATCATACTGAAGAGAACATAGAAGTATAGTGGCATTTTTATTTCCAGAATATGCGTTTCTTTTATGAAGACAGACATTTCTTTATTATATTTTGCCTTCCTTACTGGCTTTGTGAGATGAGGAAGTCCTTGAATCAAGTGAAAGACATCATAGAGTCAGAGGTATCTGCCATGTACTGTATGTCGTGTTGCAATAATAATTTATAATAAGAACCGTTATTACTGCACTAATTTCAAAGTAATGATGAGCAGGAAATTTCAAATACCGTTCAAAATAAAAAAAAAAAACATCATGTGTCATGTTTGTGCCCAAAGGATCAAATGTAGCTGTTTTTGTGTGAGGAGCGTTGTCCTCTGAAATGTTTTTCTCTGTAAAAGTATCAGGAGTCTATAAGAAATCTCAGCTTTCACACGCACTCTGACTGATTCTCTCTCTGTCGTAAATGAAAGTGTTTGACCTGTGAGCTGCGACAGCAGAGCTGAGTTCTTTGTCCTCGTCTCTGTTCCAGCTATGTACAACGCCTGCAAAGATGTAGAGGCTCCTTCTAGCAATGAGAAAGCACTGGGGTTACTCTGTGGGAAGGATGTCAAGGACTGCAATGCCACAAACTGGATCCAGTATATGTTCAACGTAAACAACGGCCAGACTCCCTTCTCCATTGTGCCTATATTTACAGGTAAGAGCTGAAATGACATTATGATAAAAACAGCCACTTTCAGCCCAAGCAGTGTATAAACGCTGTCGGACAGTTGGCGCTGCCCGCTGGCCATTCTGCCTATAGCTCTTTTCCCTGCCAGGGGCCGGCTCTGGTTCTGGTTCCTTGAAAGACGTGGGGGCGCTAGCTTCGACAGCAGGCATGGGTAGCTTTCCCCCTTCTCTAAAGGAATTGGGCTGAGCTTTGGTCACCTCAGGACAGAACAAGGCGTGAGCGTGAGGCTATCGAGGTGCTTGCTTGCAGATGTGCCCGTGGGAGGCAAGGTGCCCATGAACAACGCTACCAAAGGCTGCAACGAGTCCCTGGACGACGGATCGGGGCCCTGCTCGTGCCAGGACTGCTCACTGGTCTGTGGGCCCAAGCCTCAGCCCCCTCCGCTGCCCCCGCCTTGGACTCTCCTGGGCCTCGACGCCATGGCCGTCATCATGTGGATATCCTACGTGGCCTTCCTCTTGCTCTTCATCGGAGGTGTTCTGGGAGCCTGGTGCTACAGGTGAGGGTGTGGCACTCCTGTGCCGTTTTAGGCAGCCCTCCAGAGAATTAAAACCTGAACTTCAAGCTGGGCCCTTAGTTCAGCAGGAAATGTCCTGAAATTGAAATACTCGGTTTTGGAGCTCTTCCTGTCCTGTCTGTCCTACAGCTCACTTTTTATCACTCTGAATAGAGACTGCAAGACGAAATGTTGCCTTAAAGCTTTACAGAGGTTTTGAAACAGGTGTCGTGGTTTTGGAATAACAGTGTAGAAATTGTTGGTAAGCAGGCAGTTCCCTTCCAGTAAGAAGTAGATTAAGAAGATTAGTAAGAAGTAGAAGAAGTAAGATTAGAGGCACCTTGGCCTCTAATCTTTTGGTCCAGTGGTGAAAGAATTAGATGAGGCAAATTGTTCAGAAGAAAAAACAAGCTTGTACCAGTACTAAAAAAGAAATTAATGCCTGACAATATTTTCCTGTCTATTCTTGCAATGTTTCTTACAGAAAACAGAGGATCCTGTCTGAATATGGGCCAATACTGGACAGCAACAATATTCACTCCATAAACAGAAGCAGTGATCAACAAGGTGGGAAGACTTTCTGTGCCAATTGTGTTGCTAAAGGCAGCCATCTGTTACAGTGGTCTTGGGGTGCCACATCCCTAATATACGTCATTCTTCAATCTTTCAGTAAAAATATTACAACAGTGATCATTTGGAACAATAAGGTAATTTGATGAAAGCTCGAAAAAACGACAGCACCCACCGCTCCTGAAGACAGGAGTTGACCTGATTTGTTGTGTTTGCCAAGCGTGTCTTAGAGGGAAGAGAAAGAAGGAATATCTGTTAGTGGCTCAGGGCCACAGGTGTTCTTTATTTTGTATTCGAGCACAGAGGTTTTCACTGGCTTAGTTGTCATTTTTCACTTCCTCTGAGTTTTCTGTTTCTCCTTTACTGCTTAAATCTGGATCTTTAACTGGGAGTGTAAATGTCATCTAGTTGCTGGGCTTTTGTGTTAATCTGTAACAGGAACACTCTATCTGTAAACCACAAATACCTCAAGAACAGTTTCAGTATTTTCAACAAAGCCAGTGGTTAGCAGAGCTTAGTAGTCTGGTAAAACAGAATGCATCACCCTGCAGCGTTGAAATCCTGAACTGAATGCTCATTTTTAGATTGCATTTATCTATGTATGAGTGAAATTAGTCTTTTACCACGTTAAATTTACACATCGTGTTTACCTTCAAAGCTGACTACAGATTACAAGAGTGCCCTCTTGAAGAGCAGCTTCTAGCGAGATGGTTAAGTCACAGAAGTATTTAAACTGATCTTCTCAATGGGAAGTGGAGATGCTTTCTGCCAGCGTTCATTGTAACGAAATGCAGTGTTCTCCGTTTTAAGTTTTTACAACCAGTGTTTCCAAAAGTAGGTATTGCTACCTTGTTTCTGTAGCTTTTTGGGTAATTGAAATTCATCTTTGAATCTTTGGTAATTAAACTGAGATAGAGGTGAACGAACAGTACTCTTGAGAGACAATGGAGAAATTAAACTGATGTAATAGAAGTTTTCTCTCTTCAGCATGATATTTTTTTTAGTCTGGAATGGTTAGTCTCGGCTCAGAACGATTGATTCCTGTGCTCGTCTTGGGCACCCAAAACCCGTTAATCTCTTGACAAGTTCCGGGCTCCACCATGAAGCACAGGAGGTTTCGCCAAGAAACCGCCCACCTGGCAGCACCAGACCAGTATGTTTGTCGACTTGGGCAGCTCTGACCGCAGCTGGACAGTACTCTGACCACGCTTGCGCTCGGAGAAGGCGCCTTCAGCAGTCAGTCCGCTGGGGGGCCCGGGACCCTCCGACGCCTCCTCAAGAGGCTTTCCGCTGCTCTGCTGTTGGCGCTCAGAGGCGTGACCCTGACTCTTTTCGGCAGAGGAGGCGTCTTGCTGCGAGACAGTCGGGGAGCGGTTCGAGAGGGGCCTGCGCGGTCTCTTCTCGGCCTGGGGCTCCCTGTGCGTGCGCTACCCCCTGACCGTGCTGCTGGTCAGCGTGGTCTTCATCGCTGCCTGCTCCTCCGGCCTGGTGTACATGAGGATCACCACCGACCCCGTGGAGCTGTGGTCCGCCCCGGACAGCCAGGCGCGCAGGGAGAAGGAGTACTTCGATTCCCACTTCGGCCCCTTCTTCCGCACCGAGCAGCTCATCATCACCACCACGCTGAACTCCAGCTCCATCTACAGCCCTTACTTCGGGGGCCCGGACGTGCCATTCGGGGCGCCACTGGACAAGGACGTCCTGCACCAGGTGGGCCAGGAGGGCATAGCTCAGGGGCAAAGAGTGGGCTTCAAGTCTGACTGGGCTTACATTAGAAAAGTGGGAAGCTCTGCAAGAATATAAAATCGTTGTCTTGTCTTTACTAATTCCTGATTTGGTATGGAACACCCTTTTTTGAGTTACCTTCTTGTCCTTCTGAAGAAAAACTAGGTGTACACTTCAGTTATTTGTCTGTGAATTAAGGACGTCTTTTCATTTTATATTCTCTGAGCTAAAGCCAAGATTTGAAAAATAAAGAATTATTTGTCACTTTTGCTACGGGGGAAAACGTAGCATGAGAAATGCTGTCTGTTATCTACAGGGGATGAGTATTATTATTAGAAAGAATTATGTTTCAAGAACATGGAGATGACTATAGTTTTCTTAAGACTTTTTGTCTGTTGGACGTTAACTGATCGAGACCTGATCAAGTTCTTTTTTGTCATTCACTTTGTGCTGTAGGTGCTGGATCTTCAGGATAACATTGAGAATATAAAGGCCTCGTACAAGAACGAGACGGTGATGCTGAAAGACATCTGTTTGGCACCTCTCGCCCCCTACAATAACAACTGCACAATTCTGAGTGTGCTGAACTACTTCCAGAACAGCCACGCCGTGCTCGAGCACAGAGCTGGAGACGAGTTCTTCACCTACGCAGATTACCACACCCACTTCCTGTACTGCGTCAAGTGAGTTCACCCCAGAATTACAGTTGTCCCCCAGTTACCTGCTGTTAATTTGCGCTAAAAACATTTCTCTGGCCATGAAGATCACAGTCTCCAGTGTCACTGTTAAAAATAATTTTTAGCCTAGCGAATCTGATTTCCTTGAATAACATAAACTACCTCTTTTATTTCTTGTTGGGGCGGTTATGCTCACTATAAATTTCTATAGCTGGGTGATGCGTCTTTGTGCTGTCGGTATACCTGTATGGAAGAAGTTGTCGTTTTCATTAATAACTGCTAAGGAAGGGGAAATTATACCGGTTTAGGTGTCAGCTGGTGTGATTTGTAATTAGCCTAGAGGGCGGCTTGTCTTCTAGTCACTGCATCAGATTGGCAATTAGCAGGAACCTGTTTGCTTCTCCTAGTTGAAAACCTTTACACTGGTGAAGAAAACTCTTTCTGAAATGAGCGAGTTGTTAGATTGGTGTGGTGTTTCCGCCTTGTGGATTTCCACCTCTGAAGGAAGTGAGTGTCGGGGTAGTCAGAGCTGTTGGCTTTCATTTTGCTTCAGGCTCACCGAGTGTATTTCCCATTTTCAGCGCTCCGGCATCTCTGAACGACACCAGCATGCTCCATGACCCCTGCCTGGGGACCTTCGGGGGGCCCGTCTTCCCCTGGCTGGTGCTCGGAGGCTATGATGGTGAGACCGAGTTCACATGGAGACCACATGCCGATACTGACTGGGGCCCTTGTGTTCAAAGCACCACTAAAACCACTTTCATTAATGTTTTTGTCACATTGAAGGGTCTCTGTGTCGTAGGCTTGTTGTAGCAGTACAGGCAATTTTGTAGTTTGAGTACTTTTGCTCTTTATCTGTATGTTCCTTTAAATACTTGACTTGAAGTGAGTAATCCCATTTGGCTTCCACAGCTACCAATTACAACAATGCCACGGCCCTTGTGATAACCTTTCCCGTGAACAACTACCACAACGACACGGAGAAGCTGAACAAGGCCTTGGCGTGGGAGGAAAAGTAAGCATTCAAGGAGACCCCTGTGTTTCCAGGGATGATGTCGGATAGATAGGCGGTGCTCCAAAACATGTACTTACAACGTAAGAAAGGTGACAAACAATAAGAGGTCATCAGGGCCCATTTTGCTTATCTAGTTGCTAGTGGGTAAATGTCCCACCGCAAAGATTGGTGTCTACTCAACAGTGAAACACGAACCAGAGAGGGCAAGAACAGGAAGCCTGTGGGAGTGGGGAACAAGCTGCTCATGTTGTGCTCTTCAAAGCTGATGCCCTGGCTCCTTCCAAGAAATGAGATGAGCTTCGGGGATCAGTTAGCTACTAATCACATAACAGGATTTACAGGCCAAATGGCCTCCTATTGTTTGTCACCTTTCTTCTGCTTTGTTGTTTTTTGTGTACTGTACTAAAGTTACATTTTCAGTTTTTAGCTTAATTTTCAAAAGATGCCAGTTGCTAGTGCTTAATTCATAACCTCCCATTTAAACTTGCAGTTTACTTATTGTAAAAAATTGGTGGTTCCTCTGTATGAACACGTTTCTTATGCAGCATGTATGTGCTGACCGAAAGAAATCTCACGTAGTACAGTCTCGAGAATTTGCCTCCTAGGTGCTGAAAATATTCTAAAAGAGTAATCCTTCTGGCTTTTTTTCATTCCTTTCACAGGTTTATTGAGTTTGTGAAGAATTACAGCAATTCCAACCTTTCCATTTCCTTCTCTGCTGAGCGGAGCATTGAGGATGAAATAAACCGAGAAAGCAACAGTGACATCACAACTATCGTCATCAGCTACGTCATCATGTTCGTCTACATCTCCCTGGCCCTGGGGCACATTCAGAGCTGCCGCAGGCTGCTGGTATGTCCACCCTTTCTCACCCGACTAAGAGTGAAATATTACATCTTCAAGAAACGGAAGAAAGGTTACAAACCTGAGGCCATTTAACCATTTATCCAATCCGTTTGGTAGCTGTTTCTATCATCCGTTTCTTTAAAGAAAGTCAAGATATCTTGTGTGATGAAGGTCGCTGGTGTCTGTTTTTAAGATTAACAGAAGATATGATTAATAATGTGATGAAAATAAAACACGTGTGGCATGCCCTTAAAGTAGCGACGTTGGAATAAAAGTATGCAAGGTAACATTCAGTGCAGTGCTCTTAGTCACATGGGAAGAAGATGGGGACGCGACCCAGCCCTGTTGTGTAATCCTGTCAGGTGGATTCCAAAGTCTCCCTGGGGATCGCGGGCATTCTGATCGTGCTGAGCTCCGTGGCCTGTTCCCTTGGCATCTTCAGCTTCATCGGCATCCCCCTGACTCTCATCGTCATCGAAGTCATCCCCTTCCTGGTGCTGGCAGTCGGGGTGGACAACATCTTCATTATCGTCCAGACCTACCAGGTGCCTGTCCTGCCTGCCAGATGTACTCCAAGTGTCAGGGCCGCTGACGGGCCCCTGGAGGTCCCGTGGTTCTGCTTCTGTGTGCAGTGATCGCAGAACCTGTAGCTGGTTGTACCAGGAACTGATCCCTCCACATTCCACAGAGTAGTGTAGCGAGGAATGAAGCCAGACCCACTCTAACCCGTGCCCGAAACCACCATGCCGCCACCCTTGCAGAAACCTCTTTAAAATCTAGCTGGAATTGTGTGAACTTCAGTGGTGTCCCTGGGCTGGGATCAGTATCAACAGAACCACCCAAAGGTGGTTTTCCATTGCTAGGCTGCTGCTTGATTCAGGGACAGAAAATTAAATTCCAGGGTGTTGCCTGTGTAACATGGGGTTTTATTGAGGTGTGCTGGCATGAAGGGTTGAAAGCAGTCTGCACTGTGGGGTTTTCCAGCTGCGTATGCACTGTTCAATCCAGCTGAGGTTTCAGGTGTTTTTTATGCTCACTTGTCCAGATATTTACAATTTAAGAACCTGCTTCTTAGTGACTGCCTACAGCAGAGTATCGCCTGGGGTATCGGTTCTGCCCCAGAGAGGGCGGCTGACCTCTGGCCTTAACAAGAGCATGAACCAGAGGAGGCCACCTCTGATGCTCCTGAAAGTCGCTGTGAAAAGGGGGTGCTGTGGGTTGGCCCTGGTGGGGGGCGGGGGTGGTCTGGGGCGCGGCCAGGGACTGATGCGCCCTTGTTCCCCTCAGAGAGACCAGCGTGGGCTCCAGGAGGAGCTGCACCAACAGATCGGCCGGATCCTGGGAGATGTGGCACCCAGCATGTTCCTCTCCTCCTTCTCCGAGACCGTGGCCTTCTTCCTGGGTGAGGGCTCTCCGGACTCTCCGCAGTGCGGTGGCCATTAGGGTTTCACAACTTTCAAAGCAAAGACAGGAGGGAATCTCAGGAGGTTCTGGGTGGGGGGATCTGTATTCCCTGACGGCGTTCAAAAACCAATAATTGCTGGAAACGACTAATACAACCAATGCCTCTGAGGTGGAAAGACCACAGGCTGGTAATTGAACTGACCTCGGACAGAATCTGAAAGTCCTGTAAACCTGCGTGGGGAGTGGGCTGTCCAGCACATGCAGTTCAACACCTCCTGCGAGCTACGAGTGCGGGCCACACTTGGCGACTCCTCCTCTTCCTCCCCTGAGGAAGCTGCGAGCTGCAGCTGACGACTCCTCCTCTTCCTCCCCTGAGGAAGCTGCGAGCTGCAGCTGACGACTCCTCCTCTTTCTCCCCTGAGGAAGCTGCGAGCTGCTTGTGTGAGCTACAGCTGACGACTCCTCCTCTTCCTCCCCAGGTGCCCTGTCGACCATGCCTGCCGTGCGGACCTTCTCGCTGTTCGCCGGCCTGGCCGTCTTCATCGACTTCCTCCTGCAGATCTCCTGCTTCGTCAGCCTGCTGGGCCTGGACGTCAGGAGGCAGGAGGTGAGTTTTCTCATTGGGCATGCACCTCTCTGATAGTGAAAGCCTTCATTGCCGAGAGGCCGGATGCTTCTCTGAGCGTTTTTAAATTGATAATTTAGGAGAATCTGTAGACTTTTGTTTTCACTTTGATGTTACAGAGTGGTTTGTGTCGATCAGTGGCAGAATGCCACAGTTAAATACATGATGATTCCTTATTGTGACAATAAAATGGGAAAAAGTCCAGGGGGGTGAATACTTTTGAAAGGATTCCATTTTAAGTGGCCTGTTTTTGGAAAATATGGTAATTGGAGCAGGATGACAGCAGTTATCTAACTGGAAATTCATTTTTTTTTCTTAGCCAGTATATGATGGGAATGTTCTGTTAAAGGAAAAATAAGACTTCTGTTTCTCATGTGGCAGAACTCACCCTGCAGTGAGAGAGGCCCTACATTTTCTTTGGTTTTCAGGCTCATGCTTCTTCAGTTTTTCTCCTCTGGCTAGATGCGGTTATCTTATTTCCTCAACACAGTAACTTTCTTTAAATGAAGGATCACCCGTCCTCGTCCTGCAGGTCTACACACCATGGACATAATTCATTCCAGATTCATTACCTCATTGAAGCCTTAATAAATTACTTGATTTAGGTAAAAATGAACATGCAAATATTCCGAAGTTTGGGATTTTGTTGTCGTTGCGAAATGCAGTAGTTTGAACATGACTCAGAGCTGAAACAGTTCAGATTGATCCTATTATCAAGCCAATAATCCAGGCACACTTAGTTAAATTTGTATTAACAATGACAATGCAAACAATACACTACTACACACTACAAAACAAACAACACACAAGTTACTCTATTTACAGAACATACAGACAAGGTGTTCCGGAGACCTAACGTTCTAATCCAAATGCTCGAGTCACTAGTAAGATGTGCGTGTAGCCCCACTGCAGGAACAGGTGTTGATTGTGCTATCTGTGTGTCCAAAAATTGATTATCACAAGATGTGAAGCTTAAGGGATTGGGCTGTGTATTCCATTTGGAGCCTCTTCAATGTGCTGTAAGTAAAGGGCATGGCATCTTTCCTTGTGCTTCGAGAGCTTTAAATGTTATGAACTCATCACCATTTGACTCGGACAGTCCTGCTGTTACACGTCCCCTACACACTGAAAAACAACATGTCCGGGTGCTGTTCCAACAGAGCAATCGGCTCGACATCTTGTGCTGCGTCAAGCTGGACAAGGGCGACGAAGTGAAATCGGACGGAATTCTGTTCCATTTTTTCAAGAAGATCTACGCCCCCTTCATCCTGAAGGAGTGGGTGCGGCCCATTGTGGTGAGTACTTGGAATCGACAGCATGACGCCCGAGGGCATGGAAAGCGTTCTAGTAAGAAAAACAGATACTTGTCTGTTTCGAAGTGGCGTCACAGTGTCGTATAACGGCTGATTGTTCTCAACCAGTCAGGAAGTGAAAGGAGGGAGAAGAACTGGGGAAGTTATTTACAGAAACAAATGAAAGTTATCACAACATCTAGCTCTACCTGTGTGTCGTGCAGCGCTGAGATTTCCATCTTCCCCTTTTGCAGGTCGCAGTGTTTGTGGGAATCCTGTCCTTCAGTATCGCTGTCGTGAATAAAGTGGAGATTGGATTGGACCAGAAGCTCTCGATGCCTGATGTATGTCAACCCCCCCCCCCGACGCTTTAACGCTGTTGGAAGTAAACTGGTTGTCCATAGAAATCATTTAATTAGAAATCTAAAACTCTCCCCTGAGGTCTTCAGTAACGATATGTACGGTATTTGTTTGGCTTTCTAGTATTATCCTATTTTTGTTATCTTTATTGTTGGCGCATCAATACCAAATAACACCAATGTGCAGCTGACTGGATTTTAGCCTTAGATGTTTCTATGTCAGCTGTAGTTGGCAGATATTATACTTTCAGAGAACAGACTTCATGATGCCCTGCAGTGTCGCAATAGACAAACTTAATCATTTTGACTCCCGAAAGGAGATATTCTTCCAAAGAAAAAAAGGTCTCTGAGGCCTCAAACAGCCTTTTCTGTAGCTGTTTCAGTGTAGTTCTTCAGCAGCTGTGACAGAATTGGTATACTGTCACAGGGGAGCCTCATTGTTCTGGACTTCTAAATTTCTAAAACGGTCATCAGTCAAATCATAAACTGCTTTATTGTTTTTACAACAGTAAGAAACAGCAGAAACTGTGAAACCCCACGATTGTTTTACATATTTGCTGCCTTTCAATATTTTGATCGCTTCAGTTCTGTAGATCTTCCAAACGGGGGCTGGCAGGACCTCCTCTCGATTGTAACCTTCCTCGTGTCCTCCTGTTTGTCGCAGGACTCCTACGTGCTGGAGTACTTCGTCAATTTGAGCACGTACCTCCACACGGGCCCTCCCGTGTACTTCGTGGTGGAGGAGGGGCACGACTTCAGGACCCTGGAGGGCCAGAACATGGTGTGTGGAGGGGTGGGCTGCAACAACAACTCTCTCGTGCAGCAGATCTTCACCGCTTCCCAGATTGATAACTAGTGAGTTCGCCTGTTTCCCTTGGGACTGTTTGCATTGAGCTTCACACGCCACAGAGGGCCATGTGAAGAAAACGCCAAGCAAGTGCAGCTAAATCACGCCGACTCTTTTTTTCACTGGTCTTTATTAGTTGCTCTTGTTTAACCTGAATGAGATATTATCATATATAGTGCCTTGCACAATTAATTCACTGCTTAACCAATAATATCGAATCTTTTATAACTACGTGGAACAAATTCAGTTTTTCAAAAGAGCTGTTTTATTCAGAACAATCAAATTCAAACTCTTCACAAAGAATGTGTTCAATGTAACAGATATAAAAAGTGAAATGTACTCACTTTGTAATGAGTGAAATGTACTCATTTGAAGTCTGAGCTTGCAATCATGACAATGTGGAAGCTTTGTAGGAGTTGAATAATTTTCCAAGGCATCGTGTGCTTCTTGAACAAATTAAAATATATGATATATTTAAAGGTTTGATGTGGAGGTAATTCTCCTGACTTCGTGGCTTTCCTTTTAGCACAAGAATCGGCTTTTCTCCTTCTTCTTGGCTTGATGATTACTTCGACTGGGTTAAGCCCCAGTCCACGTGCTGCAGAATTAACAACTCGACAGGTCAATTTTGCAATGCTTCAGGTAAGACACTATCTGGAGCGTTTTTAATTTCTCCACTGAGCTTTCAGACTGAATGAGCTGGGCCATTGAACTGAGGTTTTGGCTCTAGAGAATGTTTTGAAGGTAAAAAGGTTTACAGAAAATGTTATTTTTTATTCCCCCTTAAGTGGTGGACAAGTCGTGTCTCCGTTGCCGTCCTCTGACCACCGAGGGTAAGAAGAGACCGACGGGGGAGGACTTCATGACGTTTTTGCCCATGTTCTTGTCGGACAATCCCAACCCAAAGTGTGGGAAAGGGTACGTTTTGTGTTGTCCATCTAAAAACTGACTTGCTGCAATGCAGAGTGTACCGCATTTTACAGTGCGATTGTATAACTCGTTGATATGACAAAACATCTTCTAAATACAGTATGGGTAAGGAGCACTGTCTTTTGGGAAGGAAGTAAACCTGCAGAAGTCGATATCTGTTATTGCATCACATGCCCTGCGTTATGGTGTCTGAGCTGCAAGACGTATATTGCATGACGGTAAACCAGACCATACCAAGAATAAATAATGGTAATGCTTTAATTTGTCGAGCCTAAAAAACACTCAACACTTTTCACAAGCGCTACACAACCCGATATGGCCGTGTGCACGCAGCATCCTTCACTTTGCTCTCCGCCTGCCTGTCCACAGGAGGAGGGAGGAGAGGGAGGCCGTTGCTCCAGAAATGTGACGCGATACCTTCCTCTCCACCAAATTCTTCCTGTTTATCTTTGCAAAATAAAAGTTCTGTACAGTGCGTGTTGAGGTGTGCTGCGTCAATCTGGTTCTTAGGTCGATGTAATGGAAGAGATCGCCCAATTCCCTACGTGCCATTAGCACAAGTATGAAAATGTTTCAGTAATGCTTTACTTCAACGAGGCTGGAGAACAGTCAGAACTCTTTTCATAAACACAACATGTTAAAGCCACAAGCATACAAAACATGTATTTTAACAAAGTAAAACGTGATATAAATACTCCAGGAGCACTGTGCCTGCAGGAGGTCCTTGAACCCCTGACTGAAAGTGTGCGTCACTGTGAACCCAGACCACGGAGCCAGTTTTAGCCAGTCTCCAGCAAACTAATTTCATCTTAATCTTTTATTCCAGGGGCCATGCGGCTTACAGCTCTGCAATCGACTTGATTCGCAACGACACAGACGTGGGCGCCAGCTACTTCATGACGTATCACACCATCCTGAAGACTTCGCCGGACTTCATCGACGCCATGAAGAAGGCTCGCGCCTTGGCAGACAACATCACTCAGTCGATGGGACTGCAGGACAAAAGCTACCGCGTCTTTCCTTACAGGTAAATCCTTCAACCCTTCTCTCCTGCATGCGCCGCGGGAAGAGATGGACGCGTGTTCACGCAGCGGTCAGAGTACTATATAAGGGCTGTGACTTCATTGTGCTGTAACTGCATTATGACAGAGGAAAGGAGCTTGCTCAGAATCTTTTGCCGTTTTGCTCAACAAGGTGTAAATATTTCTAACTTTTCAGGATTTGAAAGTGTGTCATTAGATGTTGGGCACTTCTTGCTGTCCCGGTTTATTTTCTTTGCTCACTCAGTATCGTTTACTGTCTGTGGATGCAAGTGTGCCTGTGCTCGGAATCGTTTGATAAACAGCTCACATGCTTTGGTTTGAAGCATTTGTCTGTGTGTAAAGAAATGTCCTTCACAGGGAGTGAAGATTCAGAACAAGATGATGACTTCTACTTGTCATAAAAATTCTGGATGAATGCCTCTTGTCATAAAAGGAATGATGACATCACATGTAAACAAGGAAGGGTTTCATTCAAGATCTTGATGGGACTCTTTAGATTGTTCTTGCTTTTGTCCTGTGGGTGTGATTCAAGTTTGTAATCTTCTCTTCCTCACCGATTCCTCCCCTGACTGCTGTAAAGGCAGTAGTCCGGTTGTTAAAAGTATGACAAGGGGAACAGGACTGAATTAATATTTCCCACTGAAGGACACCTGGGAATGATTGTATCTGTCCTTCAGTAGATGGGCCTTGAATAATGGCATCCATCCAGGAAGGGAAGGCCTTGTACACTGTTGTGAATTTGTAAAATATTTTATATCAGGGAAATGCCCCCCACACACACATCCACTTCCACTCAATTTGGACACTGTACAAGGTCTTTTATAACAACCTACCTTCAGATACATCAGCTCTGAAATTCCAAGCGGAGATGTGTTGTATCTGATTAATTTCACACTTTTGATTGGAAAAGCATATTCCAATTATCACCACTTGGTCTAGACCTTGACTAGAGGCTCATAGGGAATTTGCCTCCAGCTGGATTCAACATAGAAAGCAGTCAGCTGAGCTTATCATGAGAATGCAACGTTTCTGTCTTTGTAACCACAGAACGACAGGTCAGAATGAAACCAGCTATATGGTGGCTTCTGAGGCTGACAGGTTGGGGAAGTTATAATGTTGTGCGTCACTGACTTAAGAGCCAAGCAGGAGGCTCTGTCTTAAAGGCCTCTTGTGAAAAAACAAGGAAGAGCACTGCATAAATAAGTTACACGCATACAATTAAACCGTGCGGTCTTTGAAGTAGAAAGAAGAATTTAGTAGTTAAAACTTAATGAAAGCTTTTTGTATGCCATATTTTCTAGAAAATCAATGCAATCTGTTAAATGCAGAAGTACAGGAGTATTTCACTAGAATACAGGGTTACAAATGCCCAGAGTCCACTTGGTCCACCTAGCCTGTAGATAATGACGGATCTCATCCAGCTGTTTCTACTGGCTTCAGTTCATTCGGCACTCCCACAGCCCTTTGCATGATGAAGTAGCCTGAGCTTTAAATGCGCAGTCATTTTTTTTTTTCATATTTTGGTTCCTAGAATGGAAGTTTCCCCTCTGTGTGGAAAAAGACACACAAAGCTGAACAAACTTTCACCCAAGGCTCTTGATTTCATGCACTGATACTCTGTTCCTAGTGGGCCTGGTATCTCTTGGGCTTTTTTTCTGCCTGAGCTCTCAGTTGGTCTAATGAATTAACGGTAATAATTGGGTTCTGAGACCAAGTGAGTGTTTGTGTAACCAGCTGTAAAGAAAACTTCTTGGAAACACTGGGGTAATTGTTTAAGACCTAGTAGACAGTAGGCCTGTGTTAGTGGAAGACCGCGAGGGTGGAGTAGTCATGGTCTTCTCCTCCGTCATCCACGCAGCATCTTCTACGTCTTCTACGAGCAGTACCTCACCATCGCGCACGACACGGCCTTCAACCTGGGCCTGTCGCTGGTGGCCATCTTCGTGGTGACGGCCGTCCTGCTGGGGTTCGAGGTGTGGGCAGCTGCCCTGGTGAGCCTGACTATCACCATGATCCTCCTCAACATGTTCGGAGTGATGTGGCTGTGGGGCATCAGCCTGAACGCCGTCTCCCTCGTCAACCTCGTCATGGTGAGCAACCGCTGCTCTCGCTGCTTGCCGAAGGCTTCCTGCTGATGCCACTGCCGATAACATTATATAAGATACGATTAATGTCTGTGATTGTCGGTGTCTCTGAATTAGTCTCCTCACTCTTTCGGTTTGACCAATAAGCAGTGCATGGTTTAGGAGCTTTAGGATTCCAAAACGTTTTGGATTTTGCCCATAACGGATTGAGCTGGCGATCCTGTAGATGAAAAGAGCGGTGGCGAAGTGGCTTTGTGACCAGTCGATGCAGGAGACCTCCAGGGCCATGCAGACGAGCTGTGTTTTGTCCCGCAGAGCTGCGGGATCTCGGTGGAGTTCTGCAGCCACGTGGTGCGCGCCTTCTCGGTCAGCACGAAAAAGACACGGGTGGAGCGGGCGGAGGAGGCCCTGGCGCACATGGGCAGCTCGGTAAGCCTGGCAACTGACGGCGGGGCAGCGCTCAGGAGAACACGTGGAATGAGCTGAGCTCTTTGCTGTTTCAGAAGAGTGTACAGGCAGCTTCTCTGCTTTGCAAAAAAACATGTACCACAGTGCATATTGAGGGAATAGTTGTTAAATGAACTTATTGTTTTATTCCTTTATTTTTCTTTTAATTACACATTTTACAGCATAGTATTAAAAATAGAATTTTCTTGCTGACCTTCATTAGTAAACATTCCCCTCGGAGCTTGTTTCAGTATGCCTTTGTCATATCAGACTTCTTTTATGAACCACTCCTGAATCCAGTTAACCTTTTAATCTTTTACTTTAGTACGTTTCTAACTTTACATTAAGTTAGATGTATACCTGACCTCAGCAGGAAAGTAGAGAAAGCAGAACTGCATTCATTTCAGTCTGTTGGCTCTGAAGTATGGCAACTTATTTTTAAAAGTAGATTATTTTGAGAAGCTTTAGAAGAAATGCGAGAACTAATCTGGGATATTTTTTTCAGGTGTTCAGTGGCATCACATTGACAAAGTTTGGTGGAATCCTGATCCTGGCTCTTTCCAAGTCTCAGATCTTCAAGATCTTCTATTTTAGAATGTACCTGGCCATTGTGCTTCTGGGCGCCACGCATGGATTGATATTTCTCCCAGTGCTTCTCAGTTATATAGGTAAGACTTAACGAGGGATGTGATCACGCCTGCCTGAGTTCAGTGTATCACATTAAAGCCAGTGGTCAAAGGTGGAGAATCAGAGTCAAAAGTAATTCAGTTTTCATTTGCTGACCTTTGGATCATTGTTAAATTAAGCAGATATAGCCCTGTTCATAGGAGGCAGGGGTAAAAACAAGCAGCAAAGCAATGTGAAAGAACCAATGATTCTGGGTCAATGCCAAAAGACAATTAGAATTCTACAGCACCTAGGTACATGAGCAGTCAGATAGCCGCTTTACTGCATGTATCAATTGTAAATATGATTATCATTAATTGTTTTATAATTTAATTCTAACAAACAGACACTACCTCAGATGCATGTCTGAAAATATAAACTTTGAAAGCACATAGGTGTTAGAGTTAATCTTATACAAAACACAAATTCTCAGCTTTTAGTGCCAGTGAGCCCCTTGGTTGTGTTTTCCCCCCCCATTTAGAATTCCAGTAGAGCTTTAACGTCCCGTTGGGGAAATCGGTTTTACAGCACACTCCCAACTAACCGCACAATGACAGACAAAATGTTACCGACCAAGGGGTCAGTGCAACAATGTGACGGCAAGGTCAGGGAGAAGATCCTGATGAACCACTGTTTGAAAGAGATATTGCTGGGGGGGTGAAAGATTGCCTGTGTCTATCGGTCCTTCACCTGCGGGCGCAGAGGTGTCTCGCAGACAGGCGAAGTGAGAGTTTCTGAAGGATCTGAGCCCTTGTCTACATCCCACTCTCTCTCTCCTCGGGAGTAAATAGCAAACCTTGCAGTACATTTCTCACCCCCCCACCCCATGGAATTATGTCCCATTTGGCACAGTCGAAGGTGAGAAATGTCCCATGGGGGGAGATCAGCAGTTGTCTCCATGCAGCCGGCATTCTGGCTGGAGACAGATGTGGGCGTGACACAACACATGAAAGCACACGCATTGTTCAATATTTCTTTAACTGTAATGAGAAGTTAAAAAATTATTTATGATAGTATCATCATTTATAACTGCACGCAGGCCTGGTCTACAATTTCCTCTAAAACCGGACACTTAGGTTGAACTTGATTACAAGCAGAAGTGCAAGTGAAGGAAAATGTCTTTAAGCTGAGATTCGGGTTATTAGTACAACCTTTGTACTCTGTTTATTTGGTTTATGAAACTAGACCTCCATGCAACCAACATTTTCATTTAGTTGTGCAATCTGAAAAGGCAAACAGGTAGCAGCTTTTACATTCATTTACATTCATTTAATTTCACTCCTTTCTCATGTCTTCAGGTTTGCCCAGTTTTGTTCACTGTGTTTGATCAACCCTATTGTGCAAGATACTGTCAGCATGTTAAAGTTTACTTTATGCTTCATTACCATAAAGCTTTAATCACTTTTTTTGTCCGTTAGGCAAACTTGTTAAAAGGTTAATCGGTGTCTTGAGTCATGTAATAGTTACAGTTCATGACTAGAAGTTTGCATTGCTCATTGCTTCAAAGAAACTAGACACTTCCTCTCTGATAGAGTACACATTCTCTTAAAATAATAAAGTTATTAATAAGAGTTCTTCATTCTAAACAGGAACTACAACAATACCATGAACTTCAAGGGTCTGCACTTGGTGAAAACACAAACTTTTTGTAAGACCTGCTCTGTAATTGGGTGTGTGGGCCTGCAACCCATCAGGAAGAGGAACTTTTTAAGCAGAGATCTCTCAAGCAGTTGCACATGTTAAGTAGACCTTAGAGCACAAGCAATGAGCTCTGTTAAGTGAAATATTTTAAATAAAATATTTTCAAAGAACCTTATTTTCCTGATCATTTTAAAATGCAGTTGTATCTGCATGGTGTAACACTACTGGATGAAAGCAGGGTTCCTATGCCTGCTACACTATTTTTGCTCAGAACACTCATCTTTATGGAGCACAATGGCTGAGCTGAGCACAGGCACCATCAACATACTGCGAAAAAATATAATTCACTGATTCCTGTGTGGGTCGTCAAATCTCATCAGGTATGAGCAACTTTTTGTCTGTAGGATAAGGCAGAATTCAAACAAAGTTAACAGCTTCTACTATACTGCAATGTGATGACTAAGTATGTACATCAGTAATTATAGATTTATTTTTTTCAGGTCCGTCAGTAAATAAGGCGAAGGTGCTGGCAGCTAATACCCGTTACCTGGGCACAGAAAGAGAGCGACTCTTGAACTTCTAGTACTCGAGGATGTAAAACCAAGTCACACTGGACGGTTGAGCTTCACGATGTGAATTATCTGGCACAAGAGCTGAATGATCTCCACAGCTGTTATTTTAAATAGCTGACTCCGGGGAAAAGAATGCAAGGAGCACAAAGTAAAAGATTTTCAGTGATTTTTTGCTCATCTGGGGATTATGAAGCACAGGCCAGTGCTTGAACAAGGGGATGTCACAGAATGAAGCAGCTTGGGTGCAAGTAGAAGAAAATGCACTAAAGTCTTCCAATATGCAACAATCAATGCAAGTTCCTTTGCTACTTCCTCCACTCAGCCTTTTTTAGGGGATACCAAAATGTAATATTTTTATTACTTGCCAAAACAAAATGTAAATAGATATAACTTTATTAAGCAGTAATGCATTTTTGTAAAACATCTTTGATCAGATACAATAAATTAGCTTTGTACAGGTTATACTGTAAAATGGCAAAGGAGGTGAGAAAGCCAGTTCACAGCGTGGCGGGCTTCATTAGTGCCTGTTCCCCAAAAACCTGCTTGAAGTAAGCCACATGTTCCTCGCAGTGTTCTCCTGGTGGAAATAAAAATCACAAGGTTGATGTGGGATCTTAACCCTTTGTTCTCTGTACAAACTGAGTGTGGATTGTGCTTACATTATGTAAAACTCTGACCCAGGATATGTACCCAACATTCAGTTCCCTTAAAACTAGAGTGTGCTTTTGGAAACAGTCAGTGGTGTCGAGGGGTACAGGTTTTTGGCATTAGGCTCAGTTGATGACGGTCCAGGACATGAAAACGTGTCTTTTACGGTTGTCATGCGTCAGACACGTAGAGTGTTGCTAAATGTAGACTAACAGCATGGCATCCTAGCAGAGTCCATTCCTTTAACTGCCTGTAACAGCAGTTAATCAAATCATTGTCATCTGCAGAATTACTTTCTACAAGAAAAGTTTTTAATACTGTAGATTCAAGTGCGATTATAAAAAGGGTACAGTGCAAAAACCATTTTGAGATAACAGATTTTATTACTGAAAGGACTGAGTGGCATGTTGGTTAGATAGGTTTTCGTATTCCCCTCTGGATGCTCCCAACCTGTTTATAAGGCTTTTTAAATAAAAGGAACTGTACTAATGACCGCATTTTTCTGGATTCTGATTGACACTAGCCGCCCGCCCTTGGTCTTGATAAACGGTAAAGGAGGGGGAAGGATTGCTTAAAAGGGCTTCACACGAAACAGTAGCAGCAGCGTCGCCCGCTGGAGTCCGATCTCATCAGCAGGCCCGAGCCGGAGCCTTCCAAGGATGGGAGACCCCCCCCCAAGGAAAGACTGACTGCTGCGGCAACGGGTGTTCAGACCAGCTGGTGCCACTCATCCCACTGCCCCAGAATTGGAAAAGATCCCCCCGTCTGGACAGAGAGGTCCTGACTGCTTGGTCATTAGAGATCCAAGGCTCTTTTCGCAAGTCAGGAGTACCCAGTATTCTTCTAAAGGCCCCTCTGGGCTTGCAGTACACCACTACCCGAAGGTACTGCCTTCATTTAGTTCTCTGTGTGGTCTGCTGTCGAGAAACTGCTGCCACGTGTCACCCAAGCAGGTGTTGCACTTAATAGTGGTGGGTGAAGTGGGTCCCCTCTTATTGTGGGAAGTGCTTTGAGATCGGAAGACCATGTAAATGAAAATAAATTATTAAATCGGCAGAGAGATGAAAATACTCCAGGATGAAGAACATAACCTCTTGTGCAGAATCACTCCCCTTTTGTCCTCTGCTAACGCAGTTAAGGTGCTGTGCCATTTTGATGTCTTTTTCTCGATTTTTAAAAATTACCTGGTGTGAAGTTGGGACTTCCACGCAACCTCTGATTTCTCTGCTCAAAAAACCTGAAGATGGTATAAAACAGCATTTCATCCCCCGCCTGCCTGGCTGCATCGAGGAATTTGCGTGCAGAGACGTTGTCGTGACCCCCCACACTCCTGATGAAGCGTAGGGCCCCCAGCACCTGGTGCTTGGACAGCAGCACCTCCACAATCTCATCGTTGGCCGTGGACAGCCTCTGCGAATAATAATAATAGCTTACAATTACTCCTGAGAATTACAGGCCAGGCAGCTCAAGGTGGGAACCCGGGACCACAAACATGGGACAGTCACACACGAACACTAGTACTACATGTACATAAACCCCTGTCAGGGGTTATCAACAGTTAAAGATGTCCCTGATATCTCCCCACTATCCCAGACAGGTTCCCATCTATCCCATCATGCACTCCAGGGGGTGACATCACCTGCCTCATTGCTTGTCCGCTCACTGCAGCATCACTGCCTGATGGGGGCGCTACAGTATGTTGAAGAGAAGAGTTTGATGAAAACTCTCAAACTGAGGAAACACCTCTGTCATCTGAGGAATATTGGTAGCTACTGGTCTTGCAAGAGCTGCAATAAACTATTCAATGAAAGCCTGTTACATACAGTCCCTTAGTACACCCCCATCTTTCCCAGTTCCTCTTCAAACGGTCAGGCCCTGCTGCCTGCAGTCTTACGCTCGTTCCCAGTGTGATCCGGATTATGATTCTTACCCGGACTATTGACATACTGGAAACTGGCGAGGCTATATTGCTCCTTAGTGTACCAGTCTTGAATTACAGAATTCTGTCTGTTTTTTGTCATCTTTGAACAGACCCAAGACATTTGACCTTTTCCGCGTGGGTACTTGGTGATTGCAATTTTTGATTGGTGTACGTCTGCTTTCGTTGTGAGGAAGCAGTAACCAGCATCGAGTCTTAATAGTTCAAGGAAACCAAATAGAAATGCTTTACTAGCACTTCAGTCCACTGGACTGTTCTGTGGAGCAATTGTTGCCTTCATGTGCGTTAGTGAGATCTTTCTGAGTGTCGTTGGTTGTCATAGCAAAAGAAAATTAGTTATTAGTATTCGAATCGTCTGACCCACTATGGAAAGTATGATAATTGCTTACACTTATATAGCGCTTTTCTGGACACTCCACTCAAAGCCCTTTACAGGTAATGGGGACACCCCTCCACCACCACCACCAGTGTGCAGCTCTCAGTGGGGAGGAGAACAAAGTGATGAGGCCAGTTCAGAGATGGGGATTATTAGGAGGCCATGATTGGTAAGGGCCAATGGGAAGTTTGGCCAGTACACCAGGGTTACACCCCTATTCTTTTCGAGAAACACCCTGGGATTTTTAATGACCACAGAGAGTCAGGATCTCGGTTTTACTTCTCATCTGAACGACGGCGCCTTTTTTACTGTACAGTGTCCCCGAAATACAGCGACACTCTGACCTGCCACTTCCCCTCTCTATAATCACCCCACACACACACAGCAGAAGGGTAAGAATGTGCATCGAGTCTCAGCCTGACCCGAAATGTGAAGAATAAAAATGAAAGTATCACACATTCAGGAAGAACAAGTGTTGCAGGAATGTTTTCCGACAATGAGTAGTCGGTCTGAAGGCAGTCACGGTAAGAAGTCTACAGACTGGTCTCCAACACCTGCCACACAGGTCTGTGGAAGATCTGACATTGCTGTTCTAACAATCTTGAAATACGAAGGGTTACATGTGTCACTGGGGCTCTTTGTTGGTTAACAGACCAACGGGGGAGGAACCTTCGTAAAAACTGTAATAGACACATGGTAATCAGTTGCATTGATTATTTTTTTTAATCGAGGAAACATTTAGATTCCTTTTATGCTAGTAAACCTGTATTACACTTAACCTGCACTGAAGGCTAGAGGAAACGATAACTCCCCTAAAGTAAGTTTCACACACTGTAGACCAGCCAGTTTCAGCAGAAGAAGGGAGGTAGACACCTACCTTCAGCATGTCCAGGGAGAGCTGATGAGCAGGCGGATAGGTGCTCTCCAACGACAGCAACAGACAGGCCTTCAGAGCAGAAAAGACACTCTCGGGAATCATGCACAATAATTCAAAAGAGCAGATTCATTACCGTTCTAGTGAATTGCTTTCCACTGCCTTTAAAGCCTCACTATTAAAATGTGCACATTTAATCCATTGTGGACTCCATAACTGTAACACAGTAAAACTAAGGCATGAAACAAACCCCAGTTTCCGTTACAGGAGCACTTGGGTTTAATTCCTTTCCTATATTAAGTAAGTGAATCTTTTTCCCCTGACTACCTTGGTGAGCAAACAACAAGTCTCAGGTGAATGCACTAGAACCAGAATACAGACAGAAATATGAAGGCTACAGTCATTTTTGTGACTGTTAAACTTTTTTTCAACAGAGGATGCTCTTAGGAAATGTCAAGAAGCAGAACACGCTATCCCAGATTCCTTACATGCATAATCATAAAAATTAAGAGGTAACTTACCAGTGGCTTGGAGTCACTGAGAACATGGTACTGCAAAAACTGGTGAAGCATGTAGAACAGGTTGTGATGAACGAGGGTCTTTATGACCAACTCATACAGGTAATGCTGTAAGACAACACAGATGGTGAATACTGTGCAACTGTAGAGAGAACGTGAGCTCCAATGGAAATGTTCCTGGAAGTGCCACAATACCTGCACAGTGATCTGGAACAGGTTGAGAGATCGAATGTATTCCATCAGCACTGCAATGATAAACTTGTGGGATACATCCTGTTAAACAAGAAAGGGTTTTGTTTGCATAGTTCATTACATATAAGGTCTTCAACCTACAATGCTCACAATACTACTAGCAGAATCTATGCATGATTCATCTATGGCAGGGAAAACAATTTAAGAATATAATAATGATGTAATTTGAGCTTTTTAGTTATATGCATCCATTTTCTTATGATAACACAGCATAAATGTAATATTACACTGCTCAATACAATGCACGATGAGTGCATTAGTAGTTTTGCTAAATGAAATACAACTTTCTTTTTGCATGCCGTCTTAAAGGGGAACTGCAGAACCAATTTTTCAGTCCAGTTATTAAGTCTCAGTAATAAAAAATGAATCGACGGTATCACAAAGTTTTACAAATTCCAAATCAAGCACAAAACTGTGAACTTTGGGAGAGTACTGTAGAGTTGCCATTGTCATTGCAAACCCCTGCCCCCCCTGGGAGTTTGCATAAAGCAGCCCTTCCTGCTCACTAGTTGCTGTGATGACTAACGTGATGTGATGTATGAGCAAATGAGTACAGGTTGTCCAGCAGACATTTCATCGCAGAAATGTCCCAGCGTGATCTGCATGCAGAGTCAACGAGAAGGTTATGTTTGTCACCAAAAACCGTCTCAAAATCGAGACGGATGAAAAGAGATGTATTCACAGGTCTGCTTGTTTATGATGTAATGAGCCGCTTCACTTCTCCAGAAGTTTGATGGCCAAATTATGAATGTCAGAACGTGGTGCTGTGCATACCTGCGAATTTTGTCTATTTTGTGATGTAAATAGGAGGTTTCACATGCTTATACTGTAATCGTTGTTTGAAAGGCACTCATCAAGGCTGTTTCCTTCTAATCCAGAAATATAAAAAGAGCGTTGCAGTTCCCCTTGAACGGTGATTCAGCTGGGTTTCTCAGCATGTCTGGTCCAGCACCCCTGCGCCTCACCTTCTTCTCCGTGAATATGGAGAGGACGTGAGTGTACATGTCCGACTGGTCAATCACTGCCTGCGTGCGCACTGGCCTCTTCAGTGACGGGTTCCCTCGGCTCTGACCCGACTCCACAGCCTGAGAGAGCAGCGACAGACACGACTGCTCACACCACACTCGCACTCGAAGAATTCAGAACAAGCGTTTTCACAACACTTCTAGCCAAATACTAGAAACGTACTGGGACGCCACCATGTTAAGACAATGATGACGGTCCTTAAACAGTACAGTCGAGACTAACAGCAACCATCACAGCTCCACTCCAGAGCACTGGGGGTCCCTGGGATTTCTCATGGTTTTTGCTCCACTTGAGCTCTTAATCGCACAGTTTTCTTTTTGAGGCATGTTCTTAAATTTGCCTAAAGTGCCGAAAAACCTAAATGGGATTTGTGATTGGTATCAGCTCTGTGCTTGTCCTCGTTCTAGTGTCAGCTGCAATTTAACCAACTGCACCTCTGCTGTGGGGAAAAAAATCAAACTTCTGCTGAGAGAGTGTCGGCTGCATTGTCATTCCCTCCTGTCTCTGTTCATCATAAACTGATCGTCTGTTAAGAGTTGTTTACATTGTTTACACTGGGTAGCTGCGTCAGCATGCGCAGGCTACAAAGGAACAAGTAATAGGTTTATTCCATATTGAAAACAGAAGAAAACAACGTTTTGGCTGTGCCATGCCCAAAGAAGGCTCCACAGCCAAAATGTTGTGTTTTCTTTCTTCTCTTTTCAGCACGGAATAAATCTATTACTTGTTCCTTAATAGTGATGTGTCTGGCTGATAGATTTCATTCCTTTCCACAAATGTCATCATGTCCTCCAGTGTTTACGCTGCCAGTTCTCCTGTAGCAGTGCAATGTGCCCGACGCCACAGCTGTGTTCATGTCCCCTCAGCAATGTGAGGAACGACAGGCGTGCTCACCATGGTGTAGCTCTGCTCTGCCTCCAGGTACTCCTTGTAGACCTGGTTCAGCTTGTCAAAAACAGTGGCGATGACAGGCAGGCTGCCCCTCTCTCCTCCAATCAGCACTGCAGCAGGGAGGGGACATGGTGTGAGTCCTACGTCACATGGCTTAGGACTCGCTTCCAGAGGAGTGACAACAGAATGTTATTCTACCAACACAAGCTCTTTGTTCTTGTGTAACCGGAACTGTGGCACAACAGATGTAGCTATTCCAGGTATGATTGTACAGCTGTCATTTTCATTTTCAGAACGTATTGCATCAAGTACATTTTACCAATCCTAAGAGTTATATCTACATGTTTTACACCGCACCTATCTAGGCAGTGATAAAATCACCGTATATCTGAAAAATGAAAAGTAAAGGGAAGAGAAAGTTAGAACATACTCTGGGAACAGACTGACAGTATCACCATTTTGCAGTCTCTTCTTCTCAGTAGAAAGTCCATTAGCTTTCCTTTATCCTTCAGAAGGATGACTGCTGGTTGTAACTTCACCTGGAGATACCACAGGTATCCTAACATCAGAGACATCAATAAAGAAAGACACTGCAATTACAAGACAAATGAAGGAGCACAGTCTTCAGTACACAAAAGCATAAAATATGCAAGACATGCGAAACATGTTTGAGTAAAAGAAGTCACCGTTCGGGGTTTATACTGACTCTGAGGATTATAAATAAAAATCTTCAAACTATCAAATCTTACTTTCACCCCTTTAATTTCTACCACTAATATAAAGAGAGTAAGTTTCAATTCGGGTTCAGTTTATGCATGTTGCAGAGGTCTACTGGGTAACCCGTTTTTAAACAAAGCAAAAGAAAATCACATCATAATCACATTCCTTTCCAAAGATTACCTTCACTAGCACTGATGATAATGTCTGGTTGAAAAACGCTCCAAGTGGAAGAGTCTGGATGTTAAAGGAAATATGTAGCTCACACAACCAGAATAACAACTCGCAAGTGAAAGATCAAAGTTTTACACTGAAATCTGTATCTGTCTCACCACATTATTAAGAATCAGGTAACTGTCGACTGCAGCAGTAGAAAGCAAAGCACACCTCAATTTCCCAAAGGAAAAGAGTTCTGACTGGTTAATCTAATATCATCCTAAACATCACGATCATAAAGGAAACAAATCAAAGGAGACCATTCATTCCAACTATACCCTTTTGTAGTTAACTGGTAATTAACCTAAGGATCTCATCCTCATTTCTTGCATGAAACCAGGATATTGTCTTTGACAACAAGTCTGAGGTAGCCTGTTCTGCGCTCCCACAATCCTTTGCAGCTTGTGCTAAAGGCACAATTAAAGTGGTCGGATTGCTTTTACAATGGTGCAGAGTAAGGATACAGAGTTCACAAGGTACTGGAGTCTGTGAGCCTACAGCCGTAGGACCTGGAGAGACAGGAGCAGCAAGTGAGCAACTTCTAGACTGCCTTTGCACTCAAGGGCTTAAGACTTGTGGCCAAAGAGGTATCAGCCTACCTCTCAAGGGGATCTTGTAGGGATGGATTGAGCGAGCAGGAAGCACTGGCTGATGGACATTCAGAGTGCTGTCTGGGTCCTTGACCTTAATGTCAAATATTATGGATGTCTGTGAATACATAAAGGGACCCGATAAAGACCATATCATTTGGATTCAACTTAAACACACATGCCATATACTGTACAGATGCGTGCTGGTACACATGTGTAGGTACCCTTATCTTCCTAAATTGTGTGTACTGTGCATCATTGAGAGGGTACACTGGGTCCAGTAAAAAATAGGACCTAGAGAAAAATGCAGACGTTGATTTGAGGTTGAGAATTAGAAAGATGGAAAAAAGCACAGCACTTTGACAGCGGAGTCTTTTTTCGCTGTCACACCTGATTTGACCTCTCTGTGGAATTAACCTGTACTTGTTGCCTTCCACCCTGACACAGCTCCACTCCGGAGCCCTTCAAGAAACACAACCAGGTGGAAAACAGTGCACTGAGAGCAGCTTTCAAGAAGAGGCAGATCTTCTGCAGTTGGTACATGGCTTACTGATGAGTTAGGATTCCTTTCAACCACACCAATGTGATGTCAGGTGCTTGAAAATTAGTAGGTAAATTAATTAAAGATGGGGGCAATTACAAATACAGGTATGCAGTATTTCAAAAGAAAGTGAAAACAGATGAGCTGTTTGTTTTTTATGAGCACAGCACTTCAATCTTCAACCTCAGACAAGAGAAAAGGAGGTCCACAGTGAAATTAAGATTCAATTCCTGGTTCCTTATTGATTAAAGTCTCCCCTCCTCCAGCTCCTCAGAGAATGGACTACAACACGGCCAATCTGTCCACAGGTCTCCACTTCAAGTCGGTGGTTTGGTCGTGACCCGCAGTTACTGAAACCTCAACACGTATGAGCACACAAACTTACCTGAGAACTCTGGTGATGCACCACCACTAAATTATCCACCACATTCAGAGCAAACTTCCCTGTGGTGTTGAGCTTGAGCACATGTGTCTTCTTACAGGCCCCCTCCCTGTGGTACAAACAGGAACTGTTAGGCCACACTCCAGTGACACGTCCTCCGTCCGAACGCCACTCCCCACACGAACGGAGGCTACCTTGTCAGATGATACAGCACCACCTCTGCCCCTGGACTGTTGACTGTTCGCGAGTGGTGTTTCAGGTACATCACATAAAGCTGTCCGTATCTGGCAGAAGGAAAAAAAACAAACACAAAAGGGATGAGGTCAAGCGTGTGTCGAATAAATAAGAATTGCAGTTAGCCGAGCTTCTTACAAATAGAGCTACATTACATTTCGACATGAGTGTAGAAAGACTCTGGGAGCAGAAATAAAAAATAATTCAAGTTCATTTTTTAGTAAGAAGCTTTGGGCCACCAATTTAAATGGAGTGGAGATGTTGAATAAAGAAGAGTACTCTTCTTCCAATAGGCTTTTGTGGTTTTTAGTTCTCAGTTTGGTAATGAAACAAGCTTCAGAAGGTGTTCACCCTAACAAGTATGGAACCAATACCAACTTTCTTACACCACTGAATGCATGAGCTTGTTACTATTTGACTCCTCTAGTCTAGAGACTCAGCTGCTGCAGTCAAGCAAGTGCCTTCATGATCACAGGTTTGAGCCCGAGTCCTGAGTCATGTCCTGAACAGACTGGGATTCTCCAAGCAACAATTCACCGACGATCACTGATGGGATCTTTTGATTCTAAGAGACACAGCGCCCTCTGCAGGCTGCTGGGTGCTCACAGATATGGAGTGCAGCTAATGAGGGATTTGTCTCTCCTCCAGTCGGCACTGAACCCCCAGTGTCGGGCATTATAACCACAGATAGGAATAATAAACATAACTAGATGATCTAAAATCAAGCAAATCAACATAAATACAAGTCTAACATTTTTCTGGAATGGGGAGGTGGGATCCATCTTTTTCAGGACAGAGAATAGCAGAAAGATTGAGAACGTCACATCATACTCACATGGTGGCCACTGCTATGTCTCTCTCTGACAGACTGAGCTTGGCTGGCTTAGGGACTGCTGGCAGCTCGATTTCGAATTTTGACATCTTGGACATTGTCCCATTCTGGTAACAAAAAACAAACAAACAAAAATATCAGTCTCTCTTTCACCGAGAAACCAATAATTTGTAGTACTTATACACTTTTGACATAGAGAAGGGACTCTCTTCCTTCCCTGCTGCAGTGCAGCACCCAGCCGAGTGACAAACAGCTGTCATCATGTGCCTGCAGTAATGACACTGTGGACAAGATCAGGCAGAGAAGGGGGAATTTAGAGGGAAAGTTATGCAAGCCAAGACATTGAAATTTAGCCTGAACATCGGGGTTGACACCCCTACTCTTACGATCACTGCAATGAAATCATTAGGATACTCTGGTACAGAGGGCCACCTGCTAGTCCAACACACCACTCGTAGCAGGAAGCTGGATTTACTTGGAGGTCTCCCATCACAGTACTGACCAGAGCCAGCCATGTTAAGCTTCCGAGATATGGCCTCATGTTGGCTACAAAACATACATTTGGTATTTCAACGTTTTCTATCTCACCCTTTTAACTCTTCCATGTACTGGCTGTAACTCCACTTCACATACCCAGCGCGAGTGAAAGAAAAGTTCTTACTGGGGTCCCTGGGTAACCAGAGTCAAACCTCCAGTATAAATCCAACAGGATTAAACTAGTGTCAACATAAACACAAATTATGCTTTAGAATATGTGGACATTACAACTTAAAAAAAATAAACGTTAGTGCTCCAGGTACCCTGAACCTCGTCTGTACAAATGCCTTTTGCCTACTGTGTGTGTGCTTGAAGGAACTTTCCTCCAGGATCTCACCCTGAACACAAAGGGCTGGAGCACGTTCCCCTGCACAGTGGTGGACAGAAGGATGACGGAAGTCTCAGGGCAGTACATGTACCAGTTCACATTAATACTCTGATTCTTCTGCAGTTTTAGACTCCTCTTGTCCGGGATCACCTGAAACAAACAGTTTTTTCAGAGTACTGCACTAAAAACACAGAACAGCCATGCTTCACTTTCAACCACAAATGGCTTAATTAAAAAAGTGAAATGGGCAGCCCCACTGTTCACCCAGTTACAGCCAGCACTTACAGTATGGTGTGAGTCTTGCAGCCTACAGTCTGCCCCAATCCAAGCCGCGACACTGACTCCGACGTCCAATTTACCTGAAGTTTCTTTCAGCCTTTTTAAAATTCTTCAAACTGCACTCAAGATTTCATTTTGATATACAACTCATCTACAGCCCACCTGAGATTAGAATAAGTGACCAGCGCAATTACAGGGTCTGAAAATGTTCACACATGTGGAAATATCGCTCATACCTGGTAGAACTCAATCCCCTGGTCAGTAATGAACACAATCTCATTCCAGCTGGTCCAGCAGAATCCAAGGACACTGGCATTCTTGGTCTAGAGGTGTAAAGAAAACAGATTTTAGACACTCAACAACCCCCAAGCTCATCACATTCTTCAAGAAAGACTCCTGGAGACTGACATTACCTTACATTCCTGAGAATATTCCATAGTAGGCATATCTGGAATGAAATTGATGAACTCCTAAAGAACAAAAAACGACACAGAAGACAAGAGTCATTTTCATCATGGTCAGTTGTATTGAGCAAAAGCTACAAATACTGAATGACAGACAAGAGATTAGTGTTATATTTAGATAACTGTTAGATGCAAAAAACAAATTATACCCATATCTCCAGGTAAGAAAGAAAATCAATTTAGAAAGCTGTGTTTGTGCAGCTTCTTCATATCTGAAAGATAACCCTTCTACAGAAGACAGGGAGGATGACTGTAAATATTATTTTGTCCACATTAATAAGATGTTCTCTTCATCTTTATAATGTTGCTTTTATCTAATTTATATAGAGGATCTACATTTAATAAATATTATTCCTACTGTGAGAATTTTAATCTCATACAAAATTAACTTTTTATTAACCGTCAGAATGAAATTCGTTCTTAAAAACATTCAGTGTGTTAACGAACGAAGGTTTAAAAAAGAAAGCTGACATTGAAACCATTCTTACCACAGACTTTGATGTTCTCTGGACAGCTAAAATCTTGTTTCCAAAAGAAAACTTGATGCATTTTACTTCTCCTTTATCATCCATTCTGCAAAGAAAAAACACATATATCGTAGCACAACCAAGTCCTCTGGCCGTAAATATTTATTTTTCCATAATATATTTATTGTTCCTGTTGTCTGTTGTACTGTGTACGTCCCGGGAGATCAGCACAATTAAGAATTCCAATGTACGTGTACATATGGCAATAAACTACTACTCTCTACTAAACGTTGCACGAATGTGAAATTATCCATGATGTTTTAGAAATTATAATTTACCTGAAAGCAATGGAGTTTTTATCATCTGGTCCTTTCACCACCACCCCAGTAGCACCACCAGACCGCACCGCAAACACCTTGAGGAGTAATATAATAATACACTTTATTTTATATAGCACATTTAAAGGTGGGTTCTCAAAACACTTTAAGATAAGATTTTATTGTCCACTGAGGGAATTGTTTTATGGACACCCAGCACTCCTGTACATTTAAATAGAATGCAAACAAAAAAAGAAAAACATTGCACATTATTCTATTACAAAAAATAAGAAAAACATTGCACATCACTCTATTGCACATGTACAGTATACCACATAACAACATGTAACATCTCTAACACATCACAAAACACACTGCACTGAAGTGGGTTGTAAGAGTCAAAATTGTGTTTATCCTTGACATTTACGTTGACAGCTTTAATGGATAGTGGAACAAAGGAATGTTTGTATCTGTTTGACTTACAGTTGGGAACCCTAAAACGTTTGCCAGAAGGAAGAAGTTGATATTCAGAGTTGAGGATGTGGGAAGGCTCTGATATAATTTTTCCTGCCTGTTTCATTAGGGATTTTTCAAAGATTGTTTGCAGGGAGGGATGCTGTTTCACTCCCATGACTTTCAAAGCTGTCTGGATAAGGCAGGTAATTTGCGATTTAAAATGAACTGATTGCAAAACCACACTGTAATACCATATCTGACAATGCTCTCGATTACAGCATGGTAAAAGAGCAGCATTATTTCCTGTTGAACCCCAAACACTCTTAGTCTTCGCAGGAAATATAAGCGAGCAAACACTCTCAACATGAGTAGACCAGCACAGGTTACCGTCTATGTGTACACCTAAGAACTTATATGAATCAACCTGAGTGATAAATTTGTGTGAGTGATCACCAACTGCTCTAGCATCAAAAACGATTTATTTTGTTTACAGAATGACAGCAACAAAAAATACACAAGGTAAACAATGAGAACACACAATGAGAGGAGACAGTAAATGGGGGTACTGAACTTAGCAGGAGCAGAGGGGTAAAGAACAGAACCAGTTCAGTAAAGGCTCTTCTAAAGAAGGTTGTGAGTATGGATTTGAAAGAGTTTAGGGAAGGTGACTCTCTGATATCCTTGGGGAGAGAGTTCCAGAGCTAAAGATGAACACTGGCACAAATAACAACTGCACGAAAGAAGGGCTGATGCATATCGAAACAGTTTAGTCTGTTCTCTTTCTAGAAAGAAATACAGACCCAAATACTGATTATCTGCCCTAATAATAGATGTACAGTACATATGTTGCAAATCAGCGATGCACAACTGGCTTGTCATCGTTTACACCAATATTCCTCAACACTGCTCCTGAGAGATCACGGTCTCTGCTCCATTGACCACCTGTATTAACTGAGACTTGTTATTTTTCCTCATTGTATATGGACGTTTTCTCTAACCAGTCCTTGGTTTCAAAAATCTTCTTAAGTATATAATGTCCAATACCTTCTGCATGCAAAGCTTCACACGGTCTCTCATAAGCTGATAATTAAGAATTTGTTGCATATTACTAAATAAAGTTTTGCACAGTCTCCTATAAGCTGATAATTAAGAATTTGTTGCATATTACTAAATTTGTTTAACTAAGTTTTCAAAACCTGATGAAGAGACGATAATGTATGGAACATTTGTTTTTTATGTTCGTGCAGCTTAACTGCTTGTGGTCACGTGTCCCATAGCGCAGGCGAATGAGTCGGGTTCATAAATTTACGAAGCGGCACAGGGTTGATACTCATTACATAAACGTACGCGTTTTTAAGATCTTAAAACAATTCAGACAGTTAAAAGAGAAACTGAAATCAATTTCCGCACGATTATCTAAAGCACGAATTTATCTAAAGCAAAAACCAGAAGAGACAGAGGTCCTCCCAGGAGCAGGGTTAAAAATCACAAATCGTCGCTATTGGAACCAGAGCTGTAACTCCGATACAGTCCCCGCCTGACTTAAAACTTGAAGATACATGTTTACACTGAGATTAATCTTCCATAATTATTTACAGTACGGGTTACATATTCAGCATATTCGCAAACAATGCACCAACTGAATTAGGTTATCAGATTAAGGTCTTTAAAAACAACCAAGTACGTGTTGTCGCTCCTTAAAAGAGATAAAAGCAAATAACTGAGGTTAGTTTCCAAAGAAAAATCTAATTTTGTGGATGACGCCTCTTTCGCGCCCCGATAGTTTCTGCCCCCTGACACGCCTCACCTGTTTGTTGGCTTCGTCGAAAAAGACGTTGTTGACGCTAGAAGCATTTTCAAACTGGACCGGGTTATCGCACAGCTCCAGGTAGTGTTCCTCACTCATGGTGGAAATGGTACAGCGCTGCTCCAGCTCTGCTTTACAGCACCAGCGTCTCCATCACACTCCGCTTCCTGCTTTTACCGTCACGTGACCAGCGTCAGCCAGCGTCTTAAAGACGCGGCGTCGCCTTTTCCTGTGCAAAATGTCATCACTGTCCGAGAAATCAATATGGCTGTGGTGCCACAATATGGTGTGGGGAAGGTGTTTCAGGATTAGCCACCATGTCACCCTGCGGCTCACAGCTGGCAGCCCACTGAAGCTCGGCAGGTGTGAGCCTGGCCAGTACCTGGAGGGGAGACCTCCTGGGAAAGCTGAGGCTGCTGCTGGAAGAGGTGTCAGTGGGGCCAGTAGGGGGCGCTCACCCTGCGGTCTGTGTGGGTCCTAATGCCACAGTATAGTGACAGGGACATTGAATTGTAAAAAGGCGCCGTCCTTCGGATGAGACGTAAAACCGAGGTCCTGACTCTCTGCGGTCATTAGAAATCCCAGGGCGTTTCTCAAAAAGAGCAGGGGTGTTACCCTGGTGTACTGGCCAAATTTCCCAATGGCCCTTACCAATCATGGCCTCCTAATAATCCCCATCCCTGAACTGGCTTCATCACTTTGTTCTCCTCCCCACTGAGAGCTGCACACTGGTGGTGGTGGAGGGGATCCCCATTACCTGTAAAGCGCTTTGAGTGGAGTGTCCAGAAAAGTGCTATATAAATGTAAGGAATTATTATGATATTTTCCATAGTGGTTCAGACGATTCGAATACTAATAACTAATTTTCTTTTGCTACGACAACCATCGACACTCAGTAAGATCTCACTAACGCACATTAAGGCAACAATTGCTCCACAGAACAGTCCAGTGGACTGAAGTGCTAGCAAAGCATTTCTATTTTTCTCACATTTGGTTTCCTTGAACTAAAACGACTCGATGCTGGTGACTGCTTCCTCACCACGAAAGCAGATGTACACCAATCCAAAAAAAGCAATCACCAAGTAACCACGCGGAAAAGGTCAAATGTCTTGGGTCTGTTCAAAGATGCCAAAAAACAGACAGAATTCTGTAATTCAAGACTGGTACAGTAAGGAGCAATATAGCCTCGCCAGTTTCCAGTATGTCAATAGTCCAGGTAAGAATCATAATCTGGATCACACTGGGAACGAGCGCAAGACTGCAGGCAAAGATCTGGGATCTCGGGAAGAGGGGGGTCCTGTGAATAACCTCCTCACACACTCAACCATACCTTGTGTCAGGTGACTGAGGGGCGGCTTCCTGGGGAATATATTTCACACAAGAGCTGCCATCTTGTAGGAACCTGCTGTCCTCTCACAAGACGAATACTGTGTGCAGCGGAAACTCGGGACCGTAAACACGCCACAGAAAATGCTCACAGACACTGTTTTTGGCTCTTGCAGTGAACTTTATTAACGCCGTTTCGTTTTATTTCAGTGTTGACATCATGTCAAACTGTAAACTGTAAACCGCAGCAATTCAGCCACGCCAATGCTTTTTCATTCACCGAAGAGCAGAAGAAGTTATTTAAAAAGGCATCATTAACATCAGTTCCTTGGAAACCACAATAAAGGGCCAAGAGATGGAACACGCTGATCACATATTAAGGCATCTGTTAGGGACACACTGATACTGTACGTTGGCTTCCATGAGCCTGGAACGAAGTTATGATCAGCCTGAACAGATATGAAGCACCATGGCCCATTGCTCCTTAATATCAGTATTCAATATTTGCCGATATATTACTGGCTATCAGTATGGGTTATGAAAATCAAAAATATCGGCACACCCTAACATCTTTCCCTTGCGTATCTTAATGCCTTATTGGAATAAAAATATATTTTGTTTAGAACACATCATTAAATCCCCAACTGTCACCACAGACCACTTGTCATCATTCCATGACTGCAATTAAACACGATGTCGCGACAGCAGGATTCAAACAGACTGTTTCTGTTGCCTTTTTTGCAATTGATTTTGCCACACGATCTTACTCGACTATTATCCCCCCCAACTATTGCAATTTCTCATCTTGATTACTGTGGCGGCTGTAACGTAATTAGTCTTCAAACAACACACACATCATACCAAACACGACTTTTTCCAGTGTCGTTGTGTTCGAATCACAACTGCTAATCATCATTTAATATTGGAGGACCCCCATCATCACTGAAATAGGGAGCTTTTCTGCCATGTTTCTGCACATGATCTTCATTCATCTTCTCCAGAGCTTCAATCTGAAATAGAGACGAATTAAAAAAAAAGTTATTCAAATTAGCAGATACCGAACTATCAAAGCTAGAACTGCCAATTTAAAAACAGTTTCAACCATCCTTCTAAATCATTTTTCTAAGAAACCTAAAGAGACTGGTATTCTGTCTACTAGCAACCGAACATGATCAAGGGATCAAAAGAGGCATAAGAGAACTAAGAACAATACAAATTTCTGGTTTTTCTGGTAGCTAGTAGCTCCTAGGAAACTCATCCAGCAGTTTCCTGAAGAAAACCAGGCTATCAGCTTCAACAGCACGGCTGGGTAACTATGTGGATTGTGGAGTCATTGGCCTCTTGTTGTCTGCAACTCTTATTTTAAGTAGAAAATCCAACTCTTGCACATGACTCAACATAAAACTGTTATGAATATCAGTTGCAATGTTGTACAAAGGCAGGACAGGCACCCCTGAAAACTGACTTCATCAGTGTGCGAAAAGAGCACACATGAGACTTCACACTGCAGCAAATTTCTATCCCACGCTGAAGAGGGGTTCTAATCCGCCGCAGCCACTGACCACTTCTCCTTCTTAAAACCGTTTTAAAATGTTTGACGCCAGCAGGTGGGTCCTAAATTGGCCATTAATGGTCAGAGACTATTCATCTCACCAATTCATACCCACTGCAACTTGTAGGGGATGATCGTGAGCTGCAGCCCAACCCAGAAGACACAGGTTATGGGAGATTCAGGTGAAGCCTGTACAGCTGAAAGCCACGAACGAATGGTCTCACCTGAGCAACGAACTCAGCCTCACTGTCCGCTTTAATCTGAAGGCCAGAGACGGCGTTGAAAAGGTCGTACACATTCATCGCTTCAGTCACTCCAGCTTTCTGGAAAAACTGCCCATGGGAAACCGTAGTTAACCGCACAGCACAGGAGAGTGCAAAAATCCAGAGGTTCAGGAACACAGACTGAATGTCATGGATACGCTTTCTTAGAAGTTAAAGTTAGTTATCCTGAACAAACTCAGCATGTTAAGGAAAGCTGTTTCTAAAAAAACAGAAGTTCAGTTTCAGTGTAAGCTAGGCCACAGCTGGACAAAATCTCTTGAAAGGTACTTCTATAACGGATTGGACTGAGATTCACCAGAGAATTATTCATATTTAATCCTTTCAAGAGAGGGGAGTTGCGGGGAAGTGTTGCTGCAAAGTAGCAATCTTAGCCGCACGCTGAACAATAAAGAGGGCTCACACACAGTTTCAGCTGCGAAAACCCTCCTCAGGTGTCGCCAAACTCCTGAAGCAGCTTTCTCAGTGGAAACGTAGTTTTAATGTAATTTTCCAGCAAGAGATTAACCTTGGCTTATTCCTTTTAAATAACTTGTACAACACTTTCAAATCAATAGCTTTACAAACCATGGAATATATATGCTTCTTGACCGGCACTGACCATGCCACAGGGCTCCCTTACCAAGGCCACGTTCCTGCAGTCTCTGAAGAGGAACTCCAGCCCGTGGGGGTGTGTGGGCTCCACAGACTGGCTCACATCGATGATCCACACCTGCAGCAAAGCACAGGACCTCGGGTCAGACAGCTGGGGTGAAGAACGGCCTTCGTAAAAAACACCTGAAGCAGCAACAAAACAAACCCTACCTTGCCATCGTGCCAAAGCATATTGTATTCACTCAGATCGGAGTGAACAAGGTTACATTCCTGATACAGCTGTTGCATCATCTGCAAAGGACAGACATCCATGTGAATCATGAAAAACAGTCAAGGATCTTTTACACATCATATTACACAAAATCTGATATTTTTTGTTTTGCTAGAATATTTAAAAGATACTTTACAGTTTCATATTTATCCTGAATGAAGTTAAAATCTAAAAGCCCGACATTAAAATGTATAGTAGGCAGCTGCGTCAGCATTTGTGTGCTACAAAGGAACAGGTAAGGGCTTGCTCCACGCTGAGAGGAAAAGACACCTGAAAAAGCTCCATGGCCGAAACTTTGTGCCTCTTTTATTTTCCTTTCAGCATGGAATAAACATTTACCTGCTCCATTCAAACAAACAGTACAAAAAGTATAACAGGGCTTGATTAGCCTTTCTATTCAACACCTAAGAGCTCAAAGGCTTTTCCCACAAAACAGCACCTGCTACCCAGAACAGAACAGGACATCACCCGTCACTTACATGCAGGACCTGGAAATAGGCCCCTTTCATGTCCTCGCTGTTCAGCTTGACGTCCTTCAGCTTGGGGGCAGGGACCTGGTTCTCTCCAATGAAAGACATGACCAAAATGTGCTTCTTCAGGATAACAACTTCAGGACAAGGAATTCCTACCTTTTGCATTCTGTGAAGGAAGGGAGCGACGCATGTTAGTTCAGAGGTTTACATGGCGCGCTCCAGCTCAGAGCAGAAAACTGCTTTCCAGCAGCGACTGAAAAGACTGTGGACTTTACTGAACTAAATTAATGGAACGGTGTGGGAATAAAGAAGGAGGGGGCATAACTGGTGAAAGTAACAGCATGTTACTTAGAAAGGTGAAAACAGCATGTTTATACTACTGAAATTAAAGGAAGCCTTTGGTTTTTTTTGTTAATTTAAGATCATTCTACAGCTTCCGTACTTTCTTTAACAATTAAAGCATATATGTAGCTACTCTATACGAATTACAACATGCAATGAAATCTGTCATACAACCTGCTGAAGGCCGGTGTTACCACAATGTTGAACTTAAAACAACATTAAAGCAACATGAACTCCATTATTTCCTTCAATAAAACAAACAGTCTGATAACCTTGCTCTTTCAGGTGCCGTATTTCAGTTTGTTAGAAGACTGAATGGTTCGGCAAATTCATCCATTGTGGAACACACATGAAGCATCAAGAAATGGGATGACAGTCCAGCTCTGTAGTTCGCACACTTGTGATTTCTCTCACCTAGTAAGATTATGCATTTCCTTTTCTGCCCACATGCGGATGATTTTGCGTGGGTTCAGTTTGCTGAACCGATCTTTGAATCGATAATCGTCCTTAATATACTTGTCCCGGTTTCTGAACTCATTCAGTGTAGTCTTGTAAACTTTCAGTGCGCATTCCGCGGGCACAGGCTTGTCATCCATACTTCAAAACATACAAAAACAATCAAATTAGAGACAACAGAGAGTTCATACTTATTTAATTTTAAGTTTAAAAGGTTAAAAAAAATGAAATTATGATATATCACAGATGCTGTACAAATTGCTCTTTATTATTCTCCTAATCACTGACTCATCATTTTTTCTTTTTACAAATATACTAAATGAACTCGTGATCCAGAATAGGCGGAGAATGAGAATTTAGGAAAAAACTGCCAGATAGGCAGAAACAGAACAAGGATAAAGTGCTGAGAAATTAAACACAGCAAAGTTTACTTTACATTTTACAGGGCGTGCAGTGCTATACATTTTTCCAACCCAGACACAGACCTGAATTTTCATGTAAGTAAATAATGAATGCAGTCAGTCTGTCTACCTTCAACTGTTAAGATGGTATTTCCCACCTTCTGACCCCCTATGACTAGTTTATTCTTTCTAGCAGATTCATTATTGCTATTAATTCTTAAGAGGCAGTCCTATTTAATGCACATGTGTAATTAGATTTGTCACTCCATCTTAGTCAATGCCCAGGTAGCCAAACAATTTTGCCAATATTTAACAATGGCTGGACCATTGTTGAGATGGGATTACGACTAATATTTTTGGGGGACAGTACAGAGAAAAACTGGATCCCAATACACCATATGATTCTGTAAACATCTCAAGGAATTAGATTAGAGAATCCAAGCGTATTAGAACTTTATAACTAAAAAGAATCTGTGAAAATATTTCAGTCTCACCTCCCTCCACTGGCATGGAAAACAACAGACTCTTTTCCAGTGCTGATGCATCCATTGATGTTTTCCAGGATTCCAGCATTAACCATCTTGAACATCAGCAAACGTGTCTTGGGATCCACTGCTTGTTCCTATCAGCCAATCAGACAGTATCAGTACAATTAATTAAAAAAAAATAAAAGTCTATAACAGAATTTGAGTACTTAAGTGATTCCCTCCCCAACAACCTTAACTGATAGTTCACACTAGATTCACAAAAAATAATCACCCTTCAGTCCAATTCCACACAGAAACGAACAATTTTAGAACAACATGAAAAACAAAGCTCTTCCAGAGCATTCGGTAGTGGTTCTTATCTAAATGTAAGGCGTTTCAGATACCAGCATTCCTATTAATAAAGGCAGTCCGTCAAATGAACCAGTCCATTCTCTTGATATCTGAAGATGTTTATCTCCAGTTTTAACAAAATTTCTCATGAAAACTGAAAAAACAGTATGTTGGGGAAAGCGGTTTCTGAACAACAGAAAGAAACCCAGAGAGATACAGGTCCAATCCGTGAACAGAAACGACACCGGGCTGCTTACTGCAGTGGAGTGCTCCTTCTTCTCGTGCAGCCTGGCACTGCGGCGCTGCTCAGAGTAGCAGTGCTGCTTCAAGGCGTTGAAGACGTGGTTCGAGAGCTTCAGATCCATGCCTATCCCGTCCCCAACCTGGACCTCCGGTGCGAACTGAAAAGCAAAGCAAGCCACTCTGAAAACACGGGTGTGGAGGACTCAGTTCAATTCAGTTTATTTGTATATAGCACCTTTAACAACAAGGTTGCCCCAAGGCGCTTAACAATGCAAGTGACCGTACATTTTGTCAATACAGAACAGAAAAGACCAGAAGACAACAGAGGAGAGCAACCAAACACTCCTTAGTAAGGAGAAAAAAAACCTCTGGGGGTCCAAGGTCAACTGGCTGCCCAACCCCTCTGGGCATGCTAACATTATATAATTAAAAAAAAAGGAAATAAATGAATTAGTCCATCCATCATGTTTTCTGTATGTCAGTACTCCATGCAGATCTCTGTAGACCAGCAAATTCCTCCTAAACGATAGTTATAACAGGATGGGGTCAGGAAACGTTTTAAACAAAGTGGTCGTAGGAGTTCTCGTATTATACGTCACCTGGGAGGTCACAGATATGACAAATGCCACACCTCTAAGGGGAATTCAGGTTCCACTGCACTTTCAGGGAGACAAACAGCTCATACAAACAGAAATTAAAATCCATATTTTCTGGATTCTTGTCTGTATGGAACTCATACGGCTCGCTCAGATTGTTCTAGCCTCCTAGTCATTTTATTAATTTAATCAATTTTACCTTATTGCACTGACGTGAGTGTTCCCTGTATTTGCATGTAATGTAAATTGTTGTACTTAAGGCTGCCCTGACTCACGGCACATCATCTAGTAATATTACTGCCCCAGACTTCACTACACTCACGTCTTCTACAACACCTGCCTGAGCAGTACTCACGTTTTCCATCCGCGCAGTGTTCTTTCTGCCACACACAACCTCATCATGCTTTGTCGTAATGTTTTTGCCTTTTCCTGCAAACCCTTTCCTGGGATTTGTTGAAGGTTTATCTGTAAGAGCAAGCAGGAGCAGAATATCTATCGTGCAGTAACTGTAGAATAGTGTGTACTATACAGTGAACTCCATACTATGTTCATATAAAGAACACACTTTGCAATAAAACAGATATAATATAGAAGTTCCTCTAGATCTGCAACCCTGGTCCTGATGAAACATGTTTTTTTCTGCTGGTGTTACAGCCATCAATGAGCAAAGACCTGGAAATCACATGAACAAAATCAACTGATTGATCCGGTCAAGTCATTCAGGGTGTGGCTAGAATTAAAACTGTGCTCTACGACTGGGGTTGGAGACTCTTGCTTCAAAACATCTTTCGATAAAGGCTAGGTTTTCTGTGTCTGTACATCACTAATCAATCACATAATGAACCGTCTGAGTAACTACGCTGAGGAACAGATGGATGAGAAGCAACATCAAAATCCTGGAGCCCACGACTGAGTGCAGAAACAGTCACGAAGGTCTGGCTAATCAACCAGTTCGATTAAAGGAACTGATCAGCCTCAGTAGTGAAATTCTCAGGAATAAAAGGCAGAAGACACAAGTGCTCTCTAGGGCTCGGGCTGAGAACCAGGAGGCAGTCGTTTTACCAGGTCCGTAAGGGTCGTGGCGAGTGTCCTGCCAATCAACTTCATCTTCCGAACTGTCGCTGTCTTCGTATGGATGCACCATCCGATAGTTCTCAAAGGAAATGGACACTGCAGGGTAAAAAAAGATGCCATGAAGACGATTTACTGCAGGGAAACATAACTCTATTAAAAATGACTAAATAAATGCATGACAAGTTACCCTTGCTGTCGCCGTTGAACTTCTTCTCTTCTCTCCGCAGCTGCGTGTCGAACTCCCGGTCAAACTCCATCTGCAGCATCTGGGCCAGCATCAGGTCACTGGAGGTCTCGATATTATCGCCAGTGATGAGGGATTCAGGAACTCTACATTCATACACAAGACACATAACAGATCCGCATCACAAAACAAGATCTTTTCCAGGAAAATCATGAGAATTGCCATGTGTTGATCTGATCCCTATAGGGAATCCCAAGACAGGCAGGCAACTTTGAGAGGAAAATGAAAAGGGAAATGTGGGAGCCATCCTGGTTTATACAGGAACACTAGAGCGTCGGATGTTAACTTTGTGCCGACCGTAATTTGCACAACAGCTTTCCTCCAGGATGGGAAACTGACAGTTATGCCCGCGATGCCCTAGTTGCTAGACATGAGCCCATTCCACATTTGAGGAATGAGGTCAGGGAGCAGCGATCCAGGCTGTGCAAGAGGAATGGGACACAGGACCTCAAGATAGGATTTGCAACCTGCTGCAAAGTCCATATCACAGATGTACAGCCTGAATGGCTTCCAACAACAGGCGTAATGAATATATTTGGATCAGCCCACCCTTTACAAAGAAGACTTCAGTCTTCCTTATACCTTTGTAATAACCCTTTTCAGCTGCAATTTTGAAAAGGCTTTGGTTGTAGAAGCTTTTGGTTTGGTCTGAGCAGTGGTTCATAAGTGGATTTTAAAAGAGTTTTTGAACATACAGTCCAGGCCACTATCTTGTCTGATGCAGGATCTCCAATTTAGGCTGCTTATTTAATCGCATTTCCATCCCACTACACCTGCCTAGCATGACGTTGCTCACGGCTTCAAAACACAGTTTTAAAAGTGGGAAGAAAAAAAATCCTCCCTTTCAGTAGGAAGAACAGAACATGAGAAGGAATCTGATCGATCTTGTTCGGTGGACTCACTCCGGGCAGCTGGGGTAGGTCGAGAACTCCTCATTGAGCTGTATCGCCAGCTGCTCGCTCATCACATCAGCCAGGGAGCAGGGATTTACCACACTGTTAGGGGCTCCCCATGGGCTCTGAGGGGAGAAAAAGAATGAAATGGAGGAACTGTAAAAACATCATTCTTCCATCTCGGAAATATCTGCACACTCCGTATTTTGTTGTCTCTTGACTGTTGCTGAAAAGCTTGTCAACGTATTTGTCTTCTCTCGCGTTGATTACCACAGTGCCCTACTCGCTGGAGTACCCAAGCCCAGTCTGAACAATCTCCGGCATGCCCACAATTCAGCAGCCAGACGCCTGACCAGTTCCGCTGCAAGGGATCACATTACTCCTATCCTGGAGTCCCCGCACTGGCTTCCTGTTAGGTTCTGCGCCGACTTTAAAGTCCTCATGCTCACCTATAATGCTCTGCATGGCTTGGCACCTCAGTACCTGTCTGACTCATTATCTGTCTACTCCCCACCTCACAGTCTTTGTCCGACTCTGGTCTCCCCTCTGTTCCCCAAGCTCATCTTCACACCATGGGTGACAGGGCCTTCTCCTGCTGCACCCCAGAGCTCTGGGACTCTCTCCCCCAGGATATCAGAGAGTCAAATCCAGACCCAACCCTTCTCCGGAAAGGCTTTTTACTCAACTGATGTCTGCGTCTGCCCCCGTCTGTCCCTTTGCATCTTCAACCAGACTCAAAACCCTTGTTTTTAATGTACTAACTTTTTATCTCATATCAGTGTTCTTTTTTTTTTCTTACTGTAAAGCGCTTTGAGAAGGTACTTTAAAAGGCGGTATCTACATTTTTTTAGGATAATAATCATGAAAAACAGGGATTGGATATCTCATACCAGGCTGCCATTTTAGAATTTTCCTATCCGAAACATCCCACTCGAATCACGTTTATGTAATGACTCATAGTCGCGCAGCAAGAAACTATTCATGCAGGTACTTATATACCAATGTCCATGCCAGCTACACCCAGAAGGGAAATTCTGTATGACTTATTGTTTGCAAACGTGTCAGTCTCAGACATTAGTCTATAGAGTTACAGAAGGCCTGTGCTCATTACACTGTCATTACTGGCTTTTATCTCTGTGGAGACAGTGTACTTTCCTGCAAGAGACCGGTGAGTCATTCCCGAAGGCAAAGGTCCTCAGTCAACAGTTCACCGCTAATTTCATCACAGAACAGTTTTTGGTAACTTCTTGCTCATTAATTAATCAATCATTACAGAAAATTTTTGAAGTAGATTTATCAAGTCGTATTTAAGCACACTCGGAGCCTGATACACGAGATCTGATTCTGAACATTTTGCTTTCTGGAAAGTCCTTACTTCCTCCTTCCCAAAACTGCACTGGCTGGCAGCTGAGTGGTACAGCGCCATCTGGAGGAAGGTTAGGGAAGCAGCACTTCATTGGAGATCTGTTCTATTATAGTGTTATCAGCATGAGAAACAGGCATGCACAGCAGAAACAGGGGGCGATTCACCAATGCTAATAAGGATACAAAAATAAGACGACTTGCCTTACACAGTGGGGCGCTCAATTAGAATAGTAGCCAAGTACACAGGTTTTCTACACCTTATAGCTTTTTTTAAAAAAAGAGAAGCATTTTATACAATAAGAAGTATTTAGCTTTTACGAATGAAATAGTTACTCAGAAATATGATTAAGAAGACTGAGGTTTGAACGTTCTTGTGCAAATGTTGGTGCTACGTTTTAAAATAAAATAATCACGTTAAGATATCTTTTCTGGGGAAAATAAGTATTGAGCAATATGGACACTTACGAAAGGCTATAACATTACACAAGCAGCGTTTTACAGTCTAAGGCATTGCAAGGGTTACACCAGTAATATAACTCGCAGGCAGTTCTGTGAATTTAAGTGAAGAGACAGCGGATCTGCTCTGAAGGGCTTACATTACATCACCCTGCTCCACTATGACGTCATCGAAACTAGTCGCTGGGCCACTCCGCTGCTTTCCCGATTCTCTCATGTTTCCCGACTAGGGACACAATTTGTAAATAGAAAAATAGAAATAAAAAAATCTGTATGAAGCCTCAGGTCCTTGAAGGAATTAAGCTGAACGGAGTTCGGTTTTTAACGACCAGATCTCGCGTGTGTTTCTTATATAGGACTGGACATGTATATTCCGGGAGGGATAATTTCTGTAGTAGTTTTTATCATTATATATCGATAACATTTTCTAATGACATTTTAGTGTCAAGCAAGAATATTAACAGAAGCCGGTATAGTGTGAAACTCCTAACAGCGCTGACGTCAGTGGCTCGTCTTCTGCACTAGGCTAGGCCCCACAATTCAGACTTGTGTGCTGAATAAAATAATTTTAAAAAATACTGACCTTGGGTTTCCACACGGAATCAGTCTCGTTTTCTTTGGCAGCTACTCCTATTTGATCCATTTTTCCCCAACCAGCGAAGTGCACAGTTTGTTCTCGGATAAATAAATAGTTAATAAATATGCCCAGTACTGTAGTAAACACGAGTCAATGACAAGTCTGGGCAAGTTGAACACCAAACAGCAGCTCTGTGAACCGAGTTCGCGTCACCAGAAAGAAAAACAAGGTATTATAAAAAATATAATTCTTGACTTCGACTAAACGGTGGTCGCTGTACAAAAATATATACCACGACACGTGGTAGAAAATTATAATAAAAATAGAGATAACCTGCCAAAATTGGCAAATAAGCAGAAGTGTTCGAGTACCACCGATACGGCGGAGCTAAATGGCTGAACTGCCTCGCCTGTGCAGAGGCGCTCGGCACCAGCTGATACTGCAGGGACACTCTCTTAAAGACGCAGCTCGTTTTTTTATTATCCTCTCACAAAGACACTTTCCCTAAAGCCTTCCTACTTGCAGTGTGTAGGTAGGCGACCCTTTTCTTTGAGCAAGAAGTCATCTTGATCGTGCATCTCTTCACGATTTAGCTCGGGTTCGCTAGTGATTTCTTACAAACGCCCAATAAGCGAAGGATATTTGAGTATCAAATCTAAAACATTTAAAATGTGTGCGCTGTATTGCCATCAGAATTGAAATACGAGGGCCACAGTGTTTTGACACAAGTTATCCGCTTCCAATTCAGTTTCTTAAGCAGCGTGTGATCTGTTTTCTGAACGTCTGTTATTCTGTTTATTTTTTAAAGGATTGTGCAACCGTGTATTGCCACAGGCAAACAGACTTCTGGACCTACCAAGAATGCAGTTTACTTTATTTGAAACGGGACAGTATTGATGTGGCAGTCCCTTAGAGCTTTTTGGAAAGGGAAGAAAGTTTAAAAACTGTTTAAAATGTGAGTATTCTGAGTTTCATCTTCCTGTAAAAAGTGTCAGGGTAGCCGTAAATACTGTATCTTAAATACTAAGACTGTCAGACTGGCCCAACCACCACTGATTCTGCTCAAGGAGTGTGTAGTGTAAGCTATGGCTATTTAGTGCTGCTTCCAGTCCTAACGAACAGCTATTAATATCTGCGTAAATAAATTGCAATGTCCGCTTCTAGAGGGGTCGATTTAGTATGATTATTAAGTTATCAGCTGTATTGGCTATGATTTGGCTTGGGATTGTTCAAAAAATTCTCACTGCTTTTAGGTGAGGTACATTTACTTATTTTTCAACCTTTAATTACCTGTTTTACTGAAGATACAGAATATGTGTATTTAATGTGATGCACACTTTGAAAATATAAAAAAACTGTTTTCTAGAGTGTATTACTGAGAGTACATTACTCAGTGTATCTTGTATTTCAGTTCCTATGATTGCATCAGTTTGCATTTAGCTAGTGTTCCCCTGAGAGCAGTTCACTTGTTAATGATGAGATGTTTTATGATATCATAATAGATCCCATTAACTTTGCTCTTAAAGCTTACAGCATTCCAGTCTGGCTCTAATTGCAGTGATTATATAGTTTTTTAGAAACACAAAAAATATATATTTTGTTACCTGTTTTAAATACATTTTTATCATATTTCTAAAACATAATGTACAACACAAATACAAACTGAAACGAAAGAAACGTAAAGAGATAGTATACTATTTTAACAGAATTTATCATTTAAGATAAGCTTTTGTCCAGGCAGAGACCATTTTTAATGGAATCCCAGTCTTCTCCCAACCAAACATTTTTTTTTTTTGGCTGCAACAATGCACCAGCAAAAGACATCTTACCTGTCTGGGAGATGTCAGTGAGTAGGAGTTGTCAGGGGATCATACTGTAGGTGTGGACATACCAGTAAGATCCAATACCAGAACTTTTTCATACAGTCAAATATCCCTTAAAAGCGCTGTTTTCACAACATGTGAACAGGTGCTCACACCCTGAGTTCACCTAAAGAAGAGAGGGCCATGAGCAATCTACACGTGGAGCTGTTTGGTGTTGCAAGTACCGCATGTACAACTTCAGCACAGAGCAGCTAGTGTCCTACATTTTTAGAAGAAGAAAAAGTACCTCCCCGAACTATATCCCAGTCAGGGCTTTCTACCAGTTTATTTTCTGTATGCGGTGTATTCAATTTTATCATTTAAGTCCTGTAATGGAGATTGGCCTGTAATCTACAGCATATTCTCTCTGCAAATTTGATCATTAATAGGGGACATGCTAATGCCCACATAAATGTGACCTAAGGAATGTGACTGAATAGGGAAATTAGATGGAAGAGAAGTTGCTCTTGCTGCAGAATTCAAAGGCTCACGAACTGATACGTTACGTCTGTAATCAGAGTTTTTTACCCAGAATATTAAAGGATGTGGTGCAGTTGAAGTTGAAGTTCAATGAGTTGAAGACATCATTTATATTTAAATAAAGGGGATTTTATTTTGGTTTTGCTTGCACCAGTGGGTAACTGTTTGTTTTTTGTTGTTGTTGTTGTTGTTGTTGTTGTTGTTGTTGTGGTTTTCCTTCTTCAGAGTGGAAGGAAGATGGCCACCCTGATTCTACTCCTTATCTCGCTGTGGATGGGAGTGGCGGCAGAAGGGTGCCCTGCGGGCTGCGTCTGTTCCCCCGCTGTGACCGACTGCAGCAGAGCTGGCCTCAGGAACCTTCCCTGGGACATTGCACCCCAAACAGAGACTCTGTTCCTGTCTGACAATCAGTTAACCAGCATCCTGAAGGGGGCTTTCAGAAACCTGACAGCCCTGACCTTTCTAGGCGTATCCAGGAATAAAATCTGCCCTGAGAATGATACTTTGGAGAGTCTCATCAACCTCCTCTCCCTAGATGTGTCTGAAAATGACCTCCAGTCGATACCCATTGGTTTTCTTCAAGCACCGTTTAAAATGGTCTGGATAAACCTGGCAAAAAATCAGCTGAAGACCCTCCCCGATGGAACCTTTGCAAAACTACAAAGCCTCACTTACCTTGATCTTTCAGACAACTCCATGCTGCTACACAACAATATATTTGAAGGTCTTGCACGTTTAAACACACTGATTCTATCTGGTAACAGATTAACAACTATACCATCACAATTATTTGATCCAACACCCAAACTTCAGATACTGGATTTGTCCAATAATGCCCTGACACATTTACCTACTAGGTTATTATACCACCAACATAACCTGTCTGATCTGATCCTCAATAACAATAGATTTACTCAGTCTGTATTGCCAGCCCTAAGAGGTTTAAGGAACCTAAGGTTTCTGTATCTGTCAGGGAATAGCATTTCATCATTGCCACCATTTCCCTTCATTAATCTGTCTCATCTCACAAAGCTCACTCTGTCCAATAATTCTTTATCGAAGCTTCCGGATGGATTCTTGACAGGTTTATACCAACTCACAGTGCTAGACCTGTCAGGCAACTCTATATTTTGGCTGCCGAGAGATGTTTTTCAGAATAACACTGCACTGGAATACTTGTATTTGGACAGAAATGACTTCTCGAAGATGCCCATGCTTCTGGGGCTGCAGAACGTGCAGGAGTTAAAGATTTGCTGCTGTAAAATACACCTCTGGCCAGCTGAGGTCTTTATAAGTCACATGGAGGATTTAGAACTCTTGGATCTGTCAAGCAATTTCATAGCAGAAATGGACTTTGATCTTCTCAAGAGTAATCTCAATTTAAAGAAAGTGCTGATGACCAACAACCCAGTGTGTTCCACTGTCTCCTCAAAGTTATCTATAGTTCCTCCTGTGACATGCATCTGACAAAGGCTACTCAATGTAAAATGATGTGGGGGTGATGAATCTGACGAAGCCTTGTTGTCAGATTTGTCACTGGGGCTTTGTCTGTATTCTTGGGAAACTTTTTTTGACAATTCCCCTTGAGTCAGAAAAATGCCTTAATTGCACCAGTACTTTTCTGTTTGTATAAAGGACTTCTTAATTCTTAACAAATCATTTTAGAACTGAGCACGCAATGCTTTAGGTTAAATCTATGAAAGCCAATGCAGATTTTCTGCTATTCACACGGCTACACATCATCCATGGTAAAAATTTATAATGTGTCATATTTGTGAAATGATGATTTTCTTCAACATAATTTTCTTCCTTTTAGCTGTGGGTTCAGCTAAGTGACAGAGATATCAGATACAATACAAACTCTTCACCTATGTGGTCTTGGAAAACAGAAAATGTCCAATCACTTTTCTTCAACACTCAATTAAGCTTAGATTTTAATTTGGAATTCAAATTCAATTTTATCATTTAATCAACCCTATCATGTCGTACTGTGCTTTCTAGTATTTCAATAGTTGTGTGAGCCCAATTAACCTGCTGTATGTCTTTACCTGCTGTAAAGACAATTCATTGCCAGCAACTACTGCTGCAAGTTGTATTGTTGTGCATTTGATAAATAAACTTTGATTGACTTTGATTGTATGTGTTACAGCATTTTGGTGCTCCGTGTGAGAGGGGTGCCTGTCTCTTTAAGGGGTCAGTTCCTTCAGGAGTAGCTGGTGTTGGATTGGAGCAATCTCTGAGCAACGTGTCAGACATGGCTGCGAGGTACTCAGGCGAAAAAGATTTGGTAGAAACAGGATGACAGACATCGCTGGACTGAAGCAATAGTTTTATCTTGGCAAATGTGGAAGAGCATTGCACTCGGTCTTAGCTTTTGCCTTTTCTACTTGGTGTCGTGCTTCACAAACAAGGTGAGAGACTATTGTTTTGTTTTACCTATTGCTTCCGTCTTGAAATAATTTAAAAGACCTGTCATACCCGCTGAAGCGTTCCTTTGGCATTTAAGACGTTAACTTTTTTTTAACTTGAAATCAGATCTTCCGTTACTAACGGCGTTAGTGTTCAAAATGTGTAGTTGTACTAGTTGCTTCCCCCAGAGATCCGCGTTTGAATGTCCTGGTGTTTGCCCATGTCGTTCAGAGGGTGTGTTGATCTCTGTTTCATACAGACTGAGGGTCTGTTGTTTTTGGTTTAATTCTATAATGGCCCAGGAAAATCATGCACTGTTAGTAGTAAGCATATTATTGTAGTGTTAGCAGTTATCTGGCACATGCACCTCGCCACACGAATTTGTGTGTTGAGGTAAAACCTTGAAATTGTGTGAATTGTTTCGACAATGTAGTTTTTCTTATATATATATTTGTCTTCAAGATGAGAACCTCGTTATAATGTGTAGTCCATTTCTCATTAACTCTTCCTCAATTTGTTTTTGTGTGTTTTTATACAATGCGCCGTATGTCTTCTGTTCATGAATACCTAGTCAAACGCAGAATTTTGTATTTTATCTATAGTTAAAAACAATAAAAGTGGATAGTGTTTTATATATTGAAATGTAGCCTTTGTTGGTCAGTCTTGCACTTTTCCAGAGAGATGTGTTGAAAATCTATTTTTCCTTCTGCCTGCTGATCCAGAGCAGACAAACCAAGCAGGTGCTGGAAACTTTGGATGTTTTTCACCAGATCAAACTTTTTGCGCACAGTACTGTATATTAAATGTTGTATATCAGACTTTCTCTTTATTTCAATGTCTCTTGATACTTCGGCACAGTGTTGTCCTCTGGACTGCAGTTGGGTTTGTCTGCAATGCTATAGCTCCAATCTACTGCTATTGTGGACCTGGGAATCCAGCAAAGACTTAAAAATGATTCCTGCTGCTGCTGGCAAAATTGAAGGAAGATGTGTCATCAGAAATACCCCCTATGCGTAAATAAACTCTGATAGATATAAGCTGGTGGCACCAGCAGATACGTGTTGTGCTGAAGATTGAGACAGAATCAGCACCTGTTCATTAAAAAAGTACATTTTGAATCTTCAGTATCTGAAGAGGGTGGGGGTTAAATGAATGGTAAGCCTGATACAGAGTTTATTATAATTGATGCTGAGGTTCTACCAGACAGTAAGACCTTTGGAATTCGTATTAAAAGGAAAGCAAACGACCATTTGACAGTACTTTCAAAGAAATAAAGGACACTAAAGGAAAGTGAAACTGTATCTCAGTATAGATTGTTGTTCAATCCCATTATATCCATGAATCTGAAAGCTTTAGAAAGATGTATACTGTTTATTTCTGTGGTTTGTACAATGTTTATTTTAGTTCTGATGTCAAATAGTTTCTTTACCTTTTTGTCGTTTGCATATATTAATCGTACACCCTTAGAAAATCCCATCTAACCAAATGTCCTAATAGAGTTACAGTTAACGTGTTGTGTGTTGTTTGTTTTGCAGTATGTCCTGTCTGTCTTGAAATTCACATATCCCACTCTGTTTCAAGGGTAAGTAATCAGTATTCTACTTTGTGCCTTATAACCAGGATTCCTTTTAACCTTATTCCTTTCAGGTAGTACCAAATGGTAACTCTGTTTCTTCTACTGCCCAGGTTAGTCAGTATAACATACTGCATGAAGTGCTGTACAGTATGTGTTTCACCATGTGCACTGTCACTCATGCTTTGTTATGGAGCCCTGATAATCTTAAAATAATAACACCTTGCAACCTTGTCACCAGCCTTTTTGATCATTATCTGAAGCATTGTTTTGCGTTTTTGTTTCTTTTAGGATTCGTTGATGACTATGAGCAAACAAGCGTTGTTTTAGAAATTAAACAGGCTCAATGTTAGTCTGAATTGCAGTAAGCTGCACATTAACAGGCAGACGTTGTGACTGTCACAACTAAATGTAGCGCATGCTTCCACCTTGTGTGTTTTTGTGTATGGAAAATGTGATGGGCATTATTATTGCTGAAAGTAACAGTTAAAAAAGTAAAGATTGAAGGCCTGAAGATTTGAGTTGCATACTCTACATTCCTTCATATATCTTATTTATATTTAAGGAATCAAAATCTAATATTAGGTTCTAGGTTTTTGTCTGTCTGGACTGAATCTAGGTTTTGGCATCTGTATATTATGCTGTTTGTTCAGCATGATTGTATGTGGCAAGACTTTAGAGGTTTGTGTGATCAAGATAAATATTATTTAGACAGCACAGTTCTCTGCTTTTCTGTTTTCTGTAAAAACATCTGTCTGTCAGCTGACCCGGTTGTGTTATTACTTTTAACTTCCTCAAGGATCAAGCAGCTTTATTGAAAAACAGATTGAGGCAGGAATGTGATGAGGCTCCATGCTGCCTTTGGCATGGTGAAGCACACAGAGGACACAGAGAGGCAGCTGGATGGGACTGGGTGTCCTTCCAGATGTGGAGAGGCTCTGCTGTCTCACGCCTCTGCTGGCTTGTTTTGAAGGTGGCAGACCTTTGTTGGTGGCCTGCTGCTCCTGCTCTCCAGGAAGCTGGGATGGGTGGAGATCAGCAGCTTTTCATGGTAACTATTTTAAACTGTTCCCGCCGTCTTGTTTTTATACTGGGAAAAGTGATGCCCCAGTGGCGCTTCTTCGCCATTCTTAAAACCCATTTGAAGGTCATTTATCGGTCCATGTTTTCTTATAATATAAGGTAAGAGATAAGATCATTTTATTGGCCATATACAATTTTTCTTGCATTAAGAATTTCTTTTTGCATACCCCAATTTGCTCTCCATGAGACACACAGGCACACAGACAGGGAGAGAAGCTTGGGGTCAGAGTGCAGGGTCAGCCATTTATACGGCACCCCTGGAACAGTTGGGGTGAAGGGCCTTGCTCAGGGGCCCAACGGAGTAGGATTCCTCTGCCGGCTGTGAGATTTGAACCGGCAACCGTCCAGCCACAGAGCCACCGCACCGCCCATGTTTGAGCTTTTGACGGTATTGTGTCATGCATGAAGCCCGCGAACGTTTCCTACCTGGGGACCCAGACGCTGAATATGTTTTTGCCCCCTGAGTCGTGGCCAGTAGTGTACAGAATGGGCTCAGGGCAACCGAAATGCAGTATTACAGCAGAATCCTTTTTCGAATTTTCTCTTGCACTGATCATGCAGTAGCTCAGCAGTGCTGTTCCAGGCTGTGTTTTCTGAAGCACATGTCTGTCAACAGGTCTGCAGCTTTCGCCTGGCTCCCTGGCTCCGTGCTCTTTGTTGGCAATATCTACGCAGGGTCCAGAGCCTTGTCCCGGCTGGTGAGTGAGACTCTTCTGCAATCATTCCTTTGCGATATCTGTCATATTCACTTTAAACATCTTCCTGTATAATCTGGTTATTTCATTTAGGACAATGAAGAGTTTTGGGCAATAATTGCACTAGTTGGTTTGGGAGGACTTGAGCGAGTGCTCACCTTTACATTAAGAATTAGGAAGGAAGAAGAAAAACAAAACAAGAACGTCAGAGAGTGTGAGTAGACGTCGATGAGAAAGTTAAAGTCTAGCCGGGCAGTATAAGATCTGTCCCCATTTTCAAATAATTATAAGGTTAATCTCAGCAGGGACTTTAAAAGGCTGCCCCAGAATTAGCAGGAGGAGCAGTCTTGCCCCAGGCACACAAAATTAGGCGTCATTCCGGAGCCAAGCATGAGGCCAGTGCGTCACAAGACCACATCTCAATCCCCGCTGTCGGTGATCTCGCAGACCAGGATCAGAAGCACGCCAGTGATCTCTGCCCGTGTGTGTCTTGAGCAGGGACTTGCCTGCATCTCTCGCCAGCTTCTTCAATTGCTGCCTTGATGTTCTTACCTGCAAGACATGTTATTTCAAATTTGCCACATACTACATCCAGTATATTCTCCATAATGAACAAAAGCTAGAGTACAGTACACTAGTTTTGGAACTGGTATTTCATTGGATTAGTATCTGATACTATTGATTGACTTTCATACGTGTGTATTAATCCTTTATTGCATTTATCGTTTCTTTAACTTACGTTTTGATATAACCCTGTCTGTTCCAGCCAATCCCCGTCTTTTTCACACTTCATAATGCCTCAGAGGTTGTCATCTGCATCGTTCGGAAGCTAACTCAGAGGGAGGTATGTACTCACGGAAAGTTAAAATTAGCTCGATCTCGGCCGCTTTTGAGAGTCTTAACGATACCATGCAGTGAACCCTTTATAAAATGCCGTAGGGTAGTGAACGTTTTCTGCTGTGAAATAAAATTGACCCCCTTAAAAGAAGCAGTGCCCGATCTCATCCGATCTGGGAAGAGAGGGAAGACGGGGCCCGATCCGTGCTGTGGCTGGAGGCCCCGGAGGAAAGCCGGGTTGTGCTGTTAGTAGTGTTGGTTAGTCAATGGGTGACTCTCTGCCCTCTGGACTGGAATTCCCAAATCCCAGTATGGCGACGGGGGACAGTGTGCTGTGAAGGGCATCATACTCTACCTTGGATGAGATAAACCTCAACCGAAGCCCTGTCTAGTGGGTCATTACAGGTCCCGTGACACTGTTGTTAGGAGTATGGCTGTTATCCCTGGAGTCCTGGGTGAATTCCACTGTGGGGTGGCAGGCTTGGCTATCTTGCTGTAACTGGTCATGTGTTTTTTCACTTCTGCACTGTGCACTGGTGGCTGGTGCAGAATGGCTGCTGCGTGTCACCCGGGCGGGGGCCGTCCTGCAGCGGGACAGGGAGCGAGCCCCTCATACACTTGCAGTTCTCTGGGATCCTCTGGGATAAAGAGTGCTGTACAGTTAAAGGCAGTAGGTTACGTAGGGTTTCCTTAAGTAAGGATTTTCATTCACTGGTGGTTGTTAACCTCTTTGTTGTACAATGATCAAAACGTAACTTTTTTTTGTTCTTTTAACCAGCGTTCATCTTGGACAAAAACAGTCAGGTATGGCTTCTTGTGTCTTTGTATGTTTTCTTTACAGAACAGAAGTTTGGTTTGGATGGGGGGTTTAGATAAAATAAATAGAAAAAGTATTTGGGGGGGGGAAATGTCCTGCTGCGACATGCATTGCTTTAGTGGGAAGGCTGGAGTCACATTTGGAGAGTGCTCAGAGCCAAACCTGTATGGTTAAGTAGTGTAGTGATGCTTCTCAGAAACATGTTTTTGATACACTATTGCACATTAGCAAACCTCACGCTGCATTCCAGAATCCAAGTCATTTTCAAACTCCTTGGGAAAGAAGATTGGTCAAGGGGGGGTGGGTATTCTGGTACTCTGTATCTTGCAAGTGTTGTGGGTGTCAGCTGAACCCTTTGAAGTTTATTGATCGTACTGCAAGTTGGCCAGTGAACTGTTTACAGCTCATGTGCAGTTACTGTGCCTTTCACAATAGTGCAGCATTTCCTCTCTAATTAAAGTTTGCCAGTGTTTTATAAAATATCCTGTTTTCAGTTTTGAATTCTAGGTAAATGCTTAGCTTGTAAACATAGTGGCTTAAACTGTCCTGTTTTATTCAGTTTATTACTCCTGCTAATAGCTGCTGCATGCCTCCCTCTCCATGACACCCAGGTGAGTTGTTCAAGCTGTGTTTTTCTCAAAGCCCTGATAGTGCGCAGTTGTCTGTCAGAACTCTTTATGGTCTTTATTCTTGTCTGAGATCTGTGTATTGCCAAGATATTTTACCTGTCAAATTTTAATCCAGTTTTAAAAATACATGTAACAGTCAGACGGGTTACACGAAGCCTGTGTTGCCAGAGGGTTTGGCAGTTTTTACAGACATGTGATCTTTCATGCAAAGGAAATTACATTTTTAATCCCAAACAAAGCTACACATTTTTTTGAGCTGGTATGAATCTCAGGTTAAGTATTGCACTGGGTTATTTTAAATGAAATATTTTGGCATCGAAGTTACTGAAGTTATTTAAAATGCCAACAGAATATACAATTAAGGGACCAGTCAGAATCCTTAAATGCCAGTAGTTCAGTTCCTCACAGGATATGTGTTTATTGTTTCTGCTCTGAATACCACTCTAGCTTTTGAAAACTATCGTAAGGCAATTTGTGAGGAAGAGGACCAAGATGTGAAATATATTATTTGTTGCACTGTGCCTCAGGCACATGTAACCAGATGACAGCAACCTCACCACCTGGTTCCACACAGTAATAATAGGCACCCTGTCACAGTAACAAGGTGGTGTTGGAATTGTTAGCAAGCATGACAAATTAATCTAATCAGAAAGTCACATGTAGATCTCAGGATATGAACTGCGTGATAGCAAGTTACAGATAATCCATGTTTTTTGGGGGATTCTGTCTCTTTTTATTCATGTGACATTTGCAGTTTTGAGTAAAACTGTGAAATAAGGTTATTCTGTCATAGTATTTTTATTGTTTTATGTGTTGTTTGGTATATAACATACAATAGGTATCCTTGCACTAGGCAGCTGGGTGATGGTGTGCTGATAAGAAGATATTAAGAGCTCCTCTAAGTAATAGCCTTCTTTGTGGATTTCAGAGTGAGCTTTCTAAAAGCAGTGAGATAGTACAGTGCAGTCTAAAAGTTCAAGAACACTAGACAATGTTTTCACATAACTTGTTCAATGTCCCTTTTAGGGAAACATTTTTCATGATGAAAACAGATTTGTAAGATTTAACATGTCTAGTGGGTAATAGCAGATTGTTCAGAACTGAAGTAAATGTTCAAAAATCCTGATCGGAATAAAGGAACGAGTGTATCTAAAAATCGGAAATACTAAAAAAATCGAAAAAACATTCTAACAGAGAATTAAGAAACTGGACAGTTGCCTAGCATTCTTTAAAAAAGTTCATCAGAGAGATGTTTTTTCATTTATTTGGTTAATTTTTCTTCTTATACTATCATGTGTTTACGGTACATGCATTTATGGTTAATTACTGTAATTATATAGGAATAATGGCAAATGTAAAAGCGACCTCCCCCTAAAACAGCAAAGCTCAAAATGTACGCAGTTACAAATTGTGATTATGTGAATAAGATAAATGTTGTTGTTTTTTTTTCATTTATAAGAGTGCTCTGCCAGCCTTGGGTGAAAAGAGGACTATATTTCCAAAGCAGTCTAAAATGTATTTATCTGTCTTGTCTGCCAGTATTTTGCAGATTAATACTGATAAAACCCTGCATGTGGTTTCCAGGGGTTGTGCAATTATTGTGAAACTGAATAGTTTCAAACTTTGTGATCTCACTCTTTGAAAGCAAGTGAGCAATTTCTCTCCATAGAATTGAAAAATGAATACGAAGGTTTTGCCCTAAATGAAATACAAATCCCTTCTCGCAGTGCTGTTCAGCTTTGAATAGATTTAAATGTGCTTTCTCGATTTTAGCCACTTGATGGAGCCAGAGACCATTACATGGTGATGTACTGTGTTTATTTTATTGCTTTGTTTCAGTTTGATCCAGGTGGTTATTTCTGGGCACTGATCCATTTCTCTTGTGTGGGTAAGATATATTGTTTGAAATATTTTTTTGTTAATTTGAAATGTTGGCTCCAGGATTTATTTTTAAATACTTAGTATTTGTAAAAATGATAATGTAATACTTTTAGTTTTGTAATTGTCTGCCGTAGTTCTAGGATTTGGTACAAAACAGCGCAATCTGTAAATCAGTTATCTGTGAAATAGAGTAATGTATGTGAATGTCTGTGGCACAATGTTAGTTTTTGGCAGATTCAGGCTGTAAAAAGGGGTCACGTGAATAGGTTTGCCATAGTATGATTTGGTCAGTGTCTTTCTTTCTGATTGCATGTGCCTGATTTTTTTTTTTTTTTTTTTGGTCAAGGAGGGTACAAAGTGTTCCAGAAGCTTCCGAAATCCAGTTTATTAAGGTATCATTTTACGTTTGCTGGTACAGCAAAGAATGGGCAATCCTCACGCATCGCCAGTTGTTGGATATATTTGTAGGTAGTTCAGTATGTACCGTATGAGCAGCATCCACCCTGAAGGAGAAGACCAACCCACATCTGGGGCAGAGTACTGAAATGATTCGATGCCGTTTATAGCAGGAGATGTGTGAAGACTTCCCAGGCCGGTCAGGGCCCATGACCTGCAGCAACTGGGTCATCCTGGGAGCTCTGTAGCAAAATAAGCAGAAATAAATGACTGCATCCTCCATGAAGATTGTTATTCTGACATTGTGTTTTATAAATACCTGTTCAACAGGCTGACTAGATCTTGCTTGATCTGTCAGTGAGATCAGTAGAGCATGGGGAATGTGTTTTCTGCGCAGCACATGCAAAATTGGCATTCCCTACATCGCATTATGGCACCTTAAATGATCAAGTGTAGTACCATCCAGAAACAAGATATAAAACCAGTAGATTTCCCTGATTCTGATTGGGATAAAATTATGTTCTGTTTTGGAGTTGCTGTGCTGTAAAACTCTTGCGTGGCTATTCAGCTTTGTGTCATTCAAGCAGTTTGTCATTTATTGACCAGCATGCCCAGCTTTGCTCTCAGCTGATACTATCGGATTCCACTGTGGAAAAGACTTCAAATATTAATTTGGCTTGGCAGGTGCAGCAGGAGTGCTCCATATGGATTGTGTTCTCTTAGTTGTGTAACAGGTTCTGGCTGGCCTCGTCTTGGTCCCTAATTTTTCATTCTGAGTGAAGCACACCAGCATGTCCTTCCACACATGACACAGCCTTTAAAAAGGCTTGCCTTCCTGTCTTTGTGAAGCTTTTTTTTTGTTTTAGTGAAGTATTTCTTGTTAAGTCACACATAAGAAGGGAGGTTTTTTTGTTATTGTATTAAAAACACTCACAAATGCCGATCCAGAGCATGCTTTTTTTTGGGAACTTGCTAAATGTGATGGCCTTTAAAACAAGAATTCAATAACGTGCCACTGTCTTTATTTTATTAAGGAACTTACGGATGGCTGGAGCTTTGTAGGGAATCACTGTGGGAATTGAGCTGTTCAGCATTGCAGAATGGCACCTCTTCCCACCCCCTTGTCTAGGTCCCAGCATGTGTAAAATTCAGAAGGATGTTCAGTATTTCATTTTCATGCATCATGATCTTCTGGAGAATGCAGCTGAATGTGCTTTAGGCTGTTCCTGTGGAGCTCAGAGTGTAAAGGAGAGCAAACCCAAGTTCAGAACTCTTACTGTTCATCAGTAATGGATATTAAGTGCTTGTTTGTCACTGATAGATTTCAGCTGCATGACCGTGCCATCCCAGCAGAGCATTACAGAAAAATAGGAAAGGACAAAGGAACACCACTACTGCCCTGTCTAAACCAGCACATTGCTTGATGTATCGGATGAGTTCTAAGGCGTTATCTGTTCAAGATCAGTGGAGCATGTTATTGACAGTTGATACTGGTTAGTTATAGAGATGGGAACTTATCCATCAATCGTTTGCCTCCTAAACTGCAACCGCCTTGGTTAAGACCACGTGAAGCTCAGGCTGTACAGACACACTGATGGCCACTTTCCTGCGACTGACAACCACATGTAGTTTAATTTTACAGACATTTTTGTAGTTAAAAAAGAAGGACAAAAAATAGTCATGGTAGACCTTAAGCACAGTTACTTTAATAATCTTCACTGTTTTCACTTCCCACAGTGACCTTGAACAGCAGTACATCAACTATATTTTCAGGTAAGCATTTTGTGCCCTCCATAACTAAAACTAGGAAATGCAGAGGTGTCTGAACGCAGACAGGCATGGAGATGAAAAGATGTAGCAGAGTGATAGGAGATCTTTCATCATGTCTCTGCCATCTCTGTTGTAATAGGTTTAAGACAGCAGAATGTAATCTGTGGTGTCTGTTGTGTTTTGCCACATCTTTTGAAGTTATCGCCAAACCCCTTGGGATGGAGAAATTGATTTTTGTTTTGATGTACTTCTTCACTGAGAAAATCTCGAGAGAAGCAGCTCAGAGAGTTTTTGATGAGTCTGTCAAAATATTATAGATGCCAGTCAGGTCGTGTTTGATCAGATTTCCTTATCTAGTGAAAGCATGAACTGATTTAAACACGATGTCCTGGCTGAATTCCACTTTTGGCTTGCACACTCTGGCCTCTCTGTATCTCTCCCTTAGTTCAGTTAGTGATATAATTTTCCCATCTCCTGAAAGCTGACAAAAATACTTTAATAAAAAGGTGTAATGAATCCATAATCACAAACAGGCCTTCTATCCCGTGGTGGGCATTTGGTTCAGTTTCTCTTTAGTCTTATAGCCGGTAGTGATAGTTTTGGGGACACCCTTCCACCAGTATAATTTCTGCTTCAATTTTGGGTCAATTCTGATCAGTCTTTTAAAATGTGGCTTGTAAAACTAAGACAAGCCTCACAAAATACAATAAGCACAGTGGGACCTGAGTTGATTTCTTAATGTCTATTTCATTAATTCCTCAGTGTTTAACATGTTTATTTTTATGTCATGAAATTTGAAAGCAGTTCTTCGCTGAAAAGTGTGCTTGTGTATAAATTTGGAGTGTGATGACCTATAATTTTGTATTTTTTTTATTCAGTGTGCTGCTGTTAGCCTGTGCTGCTCATCCCACAGGTAAATTTATATTAACAGCTAATTTAGTCAAGCATTCATAACACATTTACATAATTTTCTGTCTGGGGCGTGAGCTATATATGTGTTTCTGTGCTTACAGTGTGTTGTATGTGACGGACCTTTTGACATTTAAAACGATTTTCTTCAAGCTTCAGAACTGGGGATTTTTTTCCAGTTTCAGAGTTTGGTTTTGAGTTTCAGGTGGTAGGAGCTAAGAATCACAGTCAACGTGTCATCCTGCTCCAGGTTCAGAGACTGTTTCTTCCTACACGCTGTCAGATGACTGAGCTCTACCCCCACCACTGGCTCACACTGGTGTTGGTTTTTTTTAAGCTGTATATTATTTAACTAGTTGCTGCTGCTGCTGCTGCTCTGTGTTTATGTTTTTGGTGTTTCCTTGATGTCCTTGTATTGGAGCACACGTGCAAATAAGTGTTTCATTGCACTTGTGCATATGACATTAAACTGAATCTTCCCTCTCAGGTGATTTGCTGTCTGCCTTGGAGTTCCCGTTTCTTCAGTCTTACAAGTTTCACAGTGGCTGTTGCGCAAGGTATTCCATCTTATATCTCCTCTATCCTCAGGAACCTTTCTCTACTTTTCTGTTTTTTTTTTGAGTGTCTTGCCCGTCTGCTGAAACACCCAGGTGGAGTCATAGATAAATGGAACAAACTGGCTTCAGGAGCTTACGGGAGATAGACAAGAGAAATGTGTGCTGGGAAATGCAATTGGCACTGCATGAGTCTCCAGTAAAGAGAAGCTGGAGTAATTGTGGTTCTGAATGCACCTCTGCAGTTATACAGTGTCATCTTGGGCTAGCTTATAAAAAAAGGGAGTTTCCTTGAGCGTTATCTTGAGGACAGTAATTCAGCTTTAGAATAAATATATATATATAAACCTAAATTCAATGCAAAAACACTTTCATGTTGCTTCTTGTTTTCTGTATTTTTTTAATGCAGATTGTGGGCAAATCAAAGAAGGGGCAACCTCAAAGTGATAATCCTGCATATCCTAAAGATTAGGAGGCTGTTAATTAAGAGAGTTTGAAGTTTTAAAAGAGCTCAAAAATGGTGTGTTGAATCTAGAGAAAGTTGAAACTTTTACTTGACTGTTGTTTTAATCAAGGACTTGTTGCTTAGGAAATAAGGACTCGTTGCTTTCATTGAAAAGAGAAAACAGAACTGTGAACTTTAGATGGGAAAAGTATGTTAAAAGACACCAGTCATCCTTTCAGTTCTGACGTGACACTGCTGTGCGTTGTTTTCCCCAGCGCGCTTTTGGGATTTTTTCTGCTGCTCGTCACAGTGAGGCTGAAAAGCCACCTGTCCTTGGAGCACTGTGGGACCTGGGTGTTCCTGGCGAAGGTAAGCTGTTTGCACGGTGGTTTATAAAGGGCTTTAGTGCTCCTCCTTTCATTGTGAAAAATGGCCAGTCCTGGCCATTGGTGATAAGACTAATACTGAGTGGTAAGGAACGGTTTCGCTGTGTTTCAGCGACACGTACTGTATTGTGCGTAGACTTACTGTCCTGGGACGGCTTTAAACTTTGTAAAAAGTTCCGCAGATGTGCAGGGTCAGCTTTTGTGCAGCAGGCTTGAGAAGAGTGCTCAGCCCCTGTTACAGGGGAGCCCACCTGCGCATGTGCAGTAGGCAGTAGTAGCAGTTGGTCAAGCTGGGGGCTGCCTCAGCCTCTTCGCCATCTGCTCGGGGGTCCGTGGGCCGCTGACCCGCTGCCCCGCTGCCCGGGCAGACACAGGAGGCTAATCTGTCGGACGCCAGGAGCAGCTGGACAGAGACCATGTGTCGTGGCGCCATGGCAACCGCCTGACCTCGGCAGCTGTCCTGAACATATGTGTGTTCGTATCTATAAACTCGCATTCAGTATACTGTCTACCGACTTAGCAGAGAGGAACCTGCGGACAACTTGAACACCGTATCCCCAAATTAATATTGCATTTTCTTTTCTAGTTTTTAAATGCTGTCATCAGAATGAAAGCCGGATTGCGTTTGTTGTATTGCAGGCTAACGAATGAATAATAATGTTTTAGAAGCTCTTGTTCGTTGCAAATCAGGTTTTTGTATTTCAATGGATTCACATTTGTGTTTGTTTAATGCCTGCTATGTTGTGAAAGAGACTTGACATCACAGTTTTCATAGATCTGTGTGCATCTATTAGTGTACCCATTAATATTGCTCAGGACCGCGATGGTGTTTTTTAATGAACACACTCTAGAGCTCTGTTAATGGAATCCAGCCTCATTAACAAAGTAACAAGTTCCAACGAGCAGCCCTGAATGCCAGCTTTTTTTTTAAATGCAGATGGGCGACTGCTAGTTTCTTTCATTCTGCCAATCTCTTCAGAAAAATAACGATTGAGGATCTTGTTTTCAACATCTGAACCTCGCTCTGGAACACTGCGTCGCGGGCGAGGTGGTGTTGAGGGTGATGCAGCAGGCCGAGGGACGAGGACGTGAATGCGTCGGGCGGGCCTGTCTGTTCACTGCCAGTCTCTCGGCTCCCAGCATGCGGAAACACGCGCTCAGGCTCTCCACACGCGGAGGGTTAGACACGGCAAAGGATTCCTTTCATAGCATGACGGGGTAAAGCTTCACAACGTGTAACAAACGCATATTATTCAGTAGGATTGGAAGACCTTCTGACAGGCAGAAATAACGATGATGCATATAAGCGCAGAGTAGCCTCTTGTCATTCTTTCATTCCATTTGAACCAGTTTGGTTAAACCGGTTTTAACCGGGAATGCGTAGAGAGACATCTTTAAAGCAAAGAATAATCCCAGTTGAATTCTTCAGTAAAGCCTTTCAAACCTTTTATTAGACTGTCATCAGAAAATAATGTATGTCCACTGATCCGTTTTTTTCTGTCTTGTTTACTGAGCTGTGTGACTTTGCAAAGCATAAAGGCACGCTTGTGGTTTTTACATTTCTTCCTTTGTCAGGTTCCGTGCTTACAGATTGGAAAGGGACTTCAGCCATTGTCAGAGAAGAGATAGTTTTAGCTTTTGTGCTTTGGCTTTTGGTTCAGTACATCTCAATACTAATACTGCTGTAGGTAGCAGTATTGCAGTTAGTGTTTAGTACTGGTACCTACTGCTACCAAAGCATCTTACCGAAGTACTGAACTTTATGTTGTCCTAAAGTACATTGCAGGAATTAATGAAAAGCAAACTATTCTGTGTGATGTGATGCTCTTTTTCTTATGTGTACAGTTTAAATTCTAAGAATAATAAATGACCAAACAGAGCAAAGTAATATCAAATTAAAAGGCTGTGTTAAGGTGGCTTAAACAAGGTATTTGAAAATATCAGGCTCAACCTGTAAAATCTGCTACCACATGATTTTTGTGTTTAGTAACTTTAGACTTTATAAAAATCACAATTAAATATTTTAATAGTTATTTATAATTATAACAGTTCGATGCCTGAAACATCTTTGCTAATTCACTAATTGCTATTTAATATAAAAGCACCCCTATCTGTAGTGACCTAATCTGTCTTTACATCAAAGCTCACAGTAATGACTCCTATTCCAGCATGGGGAGTATCGAGGACAATATAAAGAAGGATGAGAGAGTCAATCCTGTGATTTTCTGTTCAGTATTTTCTAGGTGCTGCAAATGCAGCACATTGAGTGTCAGGAATAATATGACTGAGTAACAAAAATAACTGTCCAGCCTACTTCCGAATACTGACAATCGTGTGTAGCGTGGTGTCAGGAGGTTCCTAAAGAGGAGATGGAGGGTGTCCAAAGGAATCCAAGTGAGGGTGTAGAAGGATCCTATGCAGACGAGAGAGAGTAGAGGCAGCAAAAACACAGGTTTCCTATCCAAATCGTCAGACGAGTTCGTGGTCAGAGAGCTGACTGAGTCCAGAAGCCAAAAGGGTCGTTGGAAAGAGGTTTTCCAAGAGGGAGAGCGAGGAGCTCTCGAGGAGAGTCATCACTACCGAGCGAAGAGCAGAGATCTCTGAGGGTTTAAATATGATGTGTGATGAAGACAGCACAGCGGGTGGTGATGGTGAACACGTGAGGCGGCGCATTGGTCAGCTGCTGAAACTGGTTAGCTTGTCTGTAGATGGATCTCTGATGACTGGTGGTCATGACAAGGGAAGAAGAAATGAATTTGTCACTTCCTGTATTTGCTGAGAGATAGTGAATAGTTTCAGATAGCACCTGAAGAGCTGGGTGAACCTGAAAAAACAGTCCAATTAAGCCACTTACCAATTGGTTTAGCTCATTAAGAGCCTTTTTTCAAACTCCATATGATTGCGAATCATAATATAGTGGGACCAGGTGGACTAAAGCTCTGTATTGTGTCTCTTGAGGCTGTGAGGTGAGGATAACTTTGCCTACTTAACGCAATTAGGTTGTTGAAAAACTGGTTTCCGGTTACCTCTCCTGAGTTTAAATGGTTTCTTTTCTCCCAACATGCAAAATGAGGAGACGCCGTCTTTAACTTGAAACCGCACTGCAAGGCCTGTCTGTACTTTTGGGCCCGAGCGATGGCCTCATTAATGTGATCCCCTGCCCCTTGCGACATCATTGTCTTGGTCAACCTACAAGTCCAAATTGTGCCGCGAGGTGCAGAAGAGCCCTGCCCCTCATTGAGGTCCCCTGTTGTGAGTCTGCAGGTACCCTGGACCCCACAGGGGGTGCTGTTTGGCCAGGAGGTGAGAGGACTCCAGCTGACGAACCCCAAACCTACCGCAGCAGCTTGGCTGGTGTGCCGCTGCCACCTAGTGGATCCCAGGCACAATTACCAGCTTAGCGAGTGCTGTTACTGATTGAGCTGCAGGTGTCCGAGTTGGATCTGTTACTAGTGTGTGTGTGTGCCGTTCAGGGTCATTAATGACTGGCACATAAGAGCAGTGTTTTCATTTTTTCTGGACAAGCCGTGTGTTACAGAGGCATAGGCAAAATCTGTTTGCTGTTCTGGTACTGAGAAGGGATATATTGAAATGTAAATGGTGACCATACAAGCAAGCGGTCCCTCTGTGCTTATGTGCCTTTTTATCACTGAAACCAGTTATGAGGGCATAAAATGAACAGTGCACAATTTGTGTTGGACCCTGTGCTTCCTTAACAGTAATTAGAGCAATTCCAATCAGCTGTGAAAAACATAAAAATGACCCCCACTGCAATAGATTTCATGCAAAACTTTGAGCTTTGGATGAGAAAAATCTTCACCTTTCAAATGGGGAGCATTTAGCTAAATATTCTGCTAGAATGATAAAAGATGTCTCCTTTTTTCTTCCATGGAAAATAAAAAAAGACACAAGAAACTGTGTTTTTCTAACGATTTAAAGTGTGATTTTTTTTTTTCCCATGACATCACCCTTCAGATGGGAAAAACATGACACAAATCGGAGCAGTGAATTTCTCAGACCTGTCTCCGGTGTCTCTGCTGGAAAAGGTTGAGCTCCAGCGTTCCCAACACTGCCAGCTGACTGGGGGCTGTTTGTTTTCACACGAGCACTTTCCTGAGGAGGAAGTGGGTTATTCAGAGACACACAAACCCGCGCCGTGGTAACAGTCTTGGGAGAATTCTAAGTGTAACTCATCGTGATCACCATTCCAAAAATAGACTCAGCAATTATTTTTCAACTGGTGACTTAGAGGTATGATTTGATTAAATCGGCTACAAGAAGAGAAATTAGTGCCTGAAGGCACATGCGGCTCAGGATCTCTGCAGGCGTGTGCAGGGACTGGTTTGTTCTCCAGCGCGTGACACTGTTTGGTTGTGAAAGACTGCAGTAATGTTCTTGGGATGGATTTGTGTGTAGAAATGTCATGACAAGGCGGTCAATAAACTTCTGTTGGAGAAAGAATAACAACATGTTGTTAGCTGGGAAACATTTAAAATAGGTTCAGCTGTATATTATACTGCAGAACAGACTTTCCTATCCTTTGAATCCTTTTCTAAGTAAAGTTTAGTCATATAGATAAGTGTGATAATGTATCTGTACATACAATGGAAAAAAAAAATCAATGTTCGACAAAAATAGGATTTTGAAGGTCTTAGATGCCATAGCTATTTACTTCCTTAAAGGTTCAGTTACCTATAAATTACCTCTGAGCTTTGTCAGAAGGATTATATTTAAGAAGCTGTACATGATGTATTGTGTTAAATAATGAGACACACTATGTATCCGAGAACACAGGTGGAACAAAAAGCAGAATGCAACAGGCTCTCCAGGAACTAAACACATCTGTACAAAACAAATAGCGTATCGCATATGTCTGCGCCACGCTTGCTGGCCTCCAGCAGGGCGGCCTTACCAGAACCTGGGCTCACTGGTATGGAGGGTGTGGCTCAGGAAGGGCAGCACTGCCTCAGTCCTGGGCTCACTGGTATGGAGGGTGTGGCTCAGGAAGGGCAGCAGTGCCGTCTCGGTCCTGGGCTCACTGGTATGGAGGGTGTGGCTCAGGAA